ATGACTCTGATGATTCACTCACTGCCAGCCATGCCAATTATGTTGACACTGGTGTTATGGCCAGATATCAAATTCTTAGGAATCGTGTTGGTTGCTTAGACTCGCTGAATAATGAGAGCAAACAATCTTCTAGTGAATACAAATGTCCTTCGAGTTTGTATGATTCCGGCAATGGTTTACATACTTCAGGCATAACTACCAAAGAAAGTGATCTTGATACTGTTTTTGGTGGATATCAAATTTTGAAGTGTCGGGATGGCAACTCAGATTACACAAACTACGAAGGCGAACAGTCACCAGGAGATGAAAACTATCTGCCTGGCAATAGTTTGTCCAGCCCAGATGACGCTTTTATAGATTCCCAACTGTCTAACTCATTGGGTGTTACTGATGAAAACGAGGCCTCTGTTATGGCTAGGTTCCGGATCATACAAAGTCGTATGAATCATTCAAACTCCATGATCAATGATTCAACTCCAAGTACAGCAGTTGCTGAGGATAGAACTGAAAAAATGGGTGGTTCGCAGCAGGACTTGAACATCAAGATAACCTCTTTTGGGCCATATCCCGAATTGACTGAGGATGAAGATGTGAATATCCTCAAAATTGGTGTGAATGGTATCAGTGATCAGGCATTAGCTCCAATTGTCAAGAACAGTGTGATTTTTGAGGGCTGGTATGATAATGACTGCTCTTCATCAGCAGACTGGGAACACATCTCTAGCCGTGATGTCTGAAAACACGATTGATGCCTTCGATCTCACTTGTCCTCGCACGTTTTAAAGCCGCTTGTACATAGTAATTAGTTACCTCCTGAACCTTTTTTTTTTCTTTTAAGTTTGTAATAAGTGATTGCACGTCTTGGATTATCAAACTTTCTATTGCGTGGATTATGCTTGTTTAGATATATACTAATTTTAATGTCCAATTGTTCGTACATTTTGTGTCACTTGGTTAATTAATTTATATATCGTGTGTCACTTGGTTCATTTATTTATACTAGAGTGGTTAACACGCGTGATGTGCGTGTATAGCTAGCCATTTCCGGAAAGCTCTTTTACTTTGGTCTTGTATTACAACTTAGTTGTCGATAGCATATAAACTAATATTTTTAGGGGTATAAATGTCCGCATACTATTCTTAATTTTTATTTTTTTTTTAAAAAAATGGCATTTAACATTAATGAGGGCAAATAATTATATAAACAATTTAGAATACATAAAGTTAATTTTTTTTTTAATATTAATTAGGACAAATAAGTAAATAAACATTTAGAGGATATAATTGTCCTAATACTATTCATACGAGTTTTCTCATATTTTTAATAATAAAGTAAGGATATGTTCGCAAAAAGCTGATATTTTTATGATTTTTTTGTGTTAAGTTTGTTGTTTTTTTTGTTGTTGTGTCATAATTCATAAATAACTTACGTATAACTAAATGCAAAATGCTAAATACGTCAAAGTTAGCTTGACAATAAAATCAAGTCTTTGGAAATTCACAACAAATTAAAAATTCTCTAACAATGCAAAATACAACTACTTTTAAAGAATTGCAAGATTAAGCTACCTAATTCTAAAAGATTTTTGTCCATCCTTAGAGCAAGGGCGAAGAGTAGTAGAGAAGGAATTAAATCTTAGTTATAAGCTAGAACTACGTCCATACTTGCAAATTTTGTCTTACTTGACGTAATTTTGCCCTCCAAATAATGCCGGTAAATATTGCCATCTAAATCAGCAAAAATTAGATGCTTCTCCAAGATAGTAAAGCTGTCTGTCCATCTTGAATCTTCAATGCACAAATCATTCTTAATGTATATATTCGACAACAAATGCCAAGAACTCGATTTTATCTTGTGTTCAAGGACCCATATCGTGATTAGTTTATTGCAAGACTTGACCAAACAAATAGAACTAAACCAAGAGTGGCCTTCCTTCCAATCCCATCCTAACACACGAAAGCAACTAATGGACAAATTATCAAAATTTTCGTGGTTTTCAGGCAATTCTAGATCCTTTTTTAATGTTTTCATCTATGAGAATCCACTCGCCTTCCTCTAACATGTACACATCATACCTGCTATTCCATACACCCAAATTATGTTCATTAAATAGCAAAAGAGTGTAATCTGAAGGAATTTTTTTTATTTTTCTTACCAAAAACATTGCCACATACCAATGCAACTTTTAGAACCCGTTATCTTGAAGTCTCTTGGCCATTTCCTCACTAGGCAACTTAATAGGCAACCAAGTCCTCGTCGAGGGGTTGCAAAAGAATAATTTTGCCGGCTCACTAGAATAAATTGTTCTACATTAAGTTAAACCATTGCTCGATGCTAAGATACGACCTGTTTCTGCTAAAAACATGATAAAATTTTTAGGGACACCATTGTAGGAACGATTTTTGGGTGAGAAACAAATGCATAATTTTTGAACTATTTCTCTTAAATTTGAATCTTCTTGAATGATCAAAGACTCCTCCGCTTTCATGCACGAGTTGTGGCTTTGTTTCTCTGCAAAAAGGGTTTCGGAAAGGTACTCTAGTGATGACTTTGCCATGGTTGATAATTTGTACAAGGGTTTTACGGGTAACCATGACATAATCTCGTATATTTCTCCGTAGAAAGACATGTTTATTTGTGGCTATGTATAAAGTATATTGTATTTTTTTGAACAAAAAGCAAAATAGTGTATAGCTTATAGTGATTATAGTATACAATATTGACTTACTTCTTATGGTATAATGGTTTACCTTGGAGGACAAGGTTTTGACTATTGTTTTTTTTGCTTTAATTTGGACAAATCAATTTACTATACCTTTTTTTTCTCCTCTAGGATGATTAATTGTGAAGTATATTGCATGTATGGAGTATTTATAAATGTTGCACATAAAGTTTGTAGAGTACTCTGTAGTATAGTTAGTTAAGGATTTTAGTTGTTAGTTTCACATTTAGTTATTACAACTAATCCTCCTAGACTTAGGAAAAAGGTTTAGGAAAGTTTTCCTAAAAAAATAAAAGGATATTTTCTTTCATAACATTCAACTTTTTATTTTTCTAGGTGAATTAGAAAAAAAAATTATTATTTTTGGTAATTTGTATTTTAGGAAAGTTCTAACTAATTGAGTTATCCCTCACTCTCTCGTAATTTTGTATTATTGATTAACAAAGATAACAATTATGTTAAAGAAAATCCTTAACTATAGTTAATTTTTATTTTTATTTTTTTAATTAGATTATTTTACAAATATTTTTTTTAAAAAAAAAAAACCCAAACCCACCACAGCCACCAACTAACTCTAGCCTCCCTAGCTCCCCCTGCCGGTTCCCAGCTCCCCACCCCCCTTTCGTCGGCACTCGAAACCCAGCCCCTTCCCCCGCCGCGACCCCACCCCTCTAACCACCTGAGATTTATGACGAATATCAATTCGAAAATACGAAGCACGACCATCAGAAATAGCGTAAAGATTCAGATTAAGGAGAGGGAAAGGAAGGGGGTCGCCGGCAAGAGGAGGGGGACTGCCGGACTGGGATTAGCTGGTGGTGGCCTGGTGGGTGGGTTGGGGAGGGAGTCGGTTGTTTTTTTTTTTTTTTTTTTTTTAAATTATTTCAAAAAAAATAATTATTTGAAAAAAAAAAAACTAACTATAATTAAATATTTAATGAAAAATTATCCATTAAATAATGGTCACGACTCATGAGTAAATTAATACTTCCTCCGTTTTTTTGATTGCACCGAGTTGGGCACAAGTTTTTTGGTAGTGCAAAAAAAGTATAAGAGAGAAAAGTAAAAATACAAGATTGCCTATGTGATAGTATATATAAACTAAAAAAAATTAAGTGATGAAAAGTAAGAGTATATTTAGTATTTGTAGTGTGAATACAAATATTTCATTTCCTAAAATAGAAATGCTGTAATATTTGTGATACTGACAAGTGGTGTAATATTAAAAAAACGGAGGAATTATAAAATATTCATGATTATCAAAGATTAATATCAATCACAGATTATTAATTCTGGTTGGATGGAGAAATTCTAACACTTTCAGATATTCTATAGCTAATAGCTCCATTTACTTCGTAATGAAGTAGTTACTTTCGTTTCTTCATTGGAAAACCCAAAACATTAAAAGAGAAAAAATCCAACTTACTAAAAACGGCGGTATCTCTTTTCAGCTTAAATTACTTAATGTGTGTTTGCCTCATAAGAGGGTTAGTTCTTTGGTCACAATCATGTTCATTTCAAAGAAATTTGTCTTAATTTCAAGTTTTACTAAAAGGTGGTAACTGTGGTAGGGTTACTACATATTTAATTATGAACCAAACGCACTTAAAATCTAATGTAGAAATAGCTAACCAAGTTGTATTTAGCCGAAAACAAGAAGAAAAAAATCTAAGTAATTAAAAAAATGAAAGGGGATGAGGCTATGAGATAGAGAACTAGCTAGCTAACCAATATTAGAATGCTATGTAGACAGTAATTATAGTAGAAACTAATTATCATTAGTGGAATTATTAGCTGTTTTTTATGGTTTATATGTTTCTTGAGTAATAATTTTATCAAAACTTTTGGCAGTGGAATAATGGATTATTTGTCCATTTCAAAATGTATATATGTACTTGTATATTTTACCATATTGACATGCATAATTGCATATGGATTCCAATAGTGCTCATATTCTTTGGTGTTGTAAAATTATGAAATATAGGCCAAAGTCTATGGTTCAACCTGTCATTTGTGGTTCGGACTATATTAACATCTTGAAAATCAACCTTATTAGAAAAATGACTAGCTATCTCGCGTGTTATAATTGATTTGGATCATGGATACGTTAGTGAAATTTATTGGTGACAGGTTAACTAGAGGTGCCAAAGCCTAAATATCACACAGCTCATGTATATTGTACATGAGTAGTGCTAGATGTGCATATATGTAAAACAAAGGGTAATTTGAAAGGAATAACTAGAGTAAGTACACTTGCTTAACCCCCTATAAATACCAATGAGTTTTCTGAGCAACAAACTCATATTACCACCAATCATAATGAACTTTTTGCATCAAAATATAAGAACACAGAGAGCTAATATACTCATGACAATGAAGCTAGCTTTAGTAACTATAGTAGTATGTTTCTTAAGTTCTCACATTGTAGCAGGACTGCAAGTAGGATTTTATCGCGATAAATGTCCCTTTGCTGAAGCTATAATCAAAGACGAGGTCAAAAAATCCTTCCTTGAAGACAAAGGAATTGCTGCTGGCATTATCAGGCTGCAATTTCATGATTGCTTTGTCAGGGTAACATACATTATTCATTATCAATGCTACTACTCTTGCTCTTCATATATACTTCGTATGACATGACAGTAAGTCAGTAAGTACTTGATGATAAATGTATGCATAACTTATTTTTCTGTGACAGGGTTGTGATGGATCGCTTCTGATAGATTCAACCCCAGAAAATCAAGCTGAGAAGGACGGTTCACCCAATAAATCAATACGAGGTCTTGAGGTGATCGACAATGCTAAGGCTAGACTCGAAGCTGTGTGTATGGGTGTCGTGTCCTGTGCTGATATTTTAGCATATGCTGCTAGGGACTCCAATGTACTTGTAAGGACATCTATCAATCTCATTTTCTTCAGACTAAATGTTTGACTCGCTGTCTGTTAGTACTATCTGAGGCATTAATTAGTCTTATGCACAAATATTGTTTGGGGAATGTATGTAGTCAGGAGGACTGTACTGGGATGTACCAGCAGGAAGGAGGGATGGCAGGATTTCAAGAGCAGCAGAAACTGAAGATATCCCCAAACCCTCTTTTAACCTCGATCAACTCATCGAATTTTTTGCAAAGAAGGGTTTGACACAGGGTGATATGGTTGCTCTTTCTGGTATGTCTCCATTTTTTTTTCCCTATGATCAATTAAGTGTGATCTACATGATTAATTCTTCAACTTTATGTAGCTATATTCATGTTTTGGTTGAATGTGTTGAATTTTGCGCCTAAAAAACATACCTGGTTCTTTAATCTTCTAATCATCCAATGTTCTAACACTTCATGGCGCGCATGTGCACACACACTAGTACATGGCAACATAGATACATCACACATCAGAGTTTTAGACAGAAAGAAAAGAAAAAGGCCTACTAAAAACTAATATCCATAACATTATATGTATGCAGGTTCACACACAATTGGTCGCTCACATTGTTTCTCGTTCACAGTCAGACTCTACAACTATAACACCAAAACGATGCAGGACCCAAACCTAGATCCACATTATGCACAGCTCCTGAAGATAGAGTGTCCAAGATTTTTGCAAGGAATTCTCAACCAAACTTTGGTTGTTGCTATGAACCAAAGTCCATTTTTCATGGACTCAAGCTACTATGGAAATCTTTTCAAACATGCTGGTCTATTTAATTCTGATCAGTCACTCCTGGACAGCCAGACGACTGCTGAACAGGCGACAGTTTATGCAACGAATGATTTAGCTTGGAAGGTGGATTTTGCTCGAGCTATGATCAAGTTGAGCCAGGTTCAAGTCCTGACTGAAAATCAAGGAGAAATTCGAGCTAATTGTAGGGTGATTAATCCATAAAAAAAGATTAGACTATTTGGGCTACATAGCAAAATTTGCTGGTTTTCCTGCTGTTGCTGTAATGCTGCAGTCATTAGTAATTCTGAATAAGCCAGAGACTTGGACTAACAATCTCAAATTATAGATCTTGAAATGTGTAGCGTTTGTTAACGGCACGTTCCTGTCTTTTGGAATGGTCAGACTAGAGCTTAAAGTCTTAAAGATGAAGAGTTTCAGAATTGTCAAATAAGACACACTTTCTTGGTAAATCATGTATGTGAAAATGTATAAAAAAAACAACATACATAAATATTACTCCCTCCGTTCCACAATGATGTTCATATTTAGAATTTTTTTGAGACAAATTTGGTCAAATTAAGAACATAATTTTGGAATAGAGGGAGTACTAAATAAACTACAGTGATGAAAAGCGTAGTTATTGGTGATATTGTATTACATCAACTTGCATTATGTCCTTCAAAGATCCAGTTAAGCACCAATTCAGTTACATGATTTGCACTATACTGCTACTCTTGTCTTTGTATTTCATCATTCAATTATTGGCCATCTGCTGTTCGCTCATCACTGGCGTAACAAAATCCATCTCTTTGATATTATTAATTTTAAGGCTTAATCAAAGTGACTAACTAAAGCAATGGAATTTTCCATACCTTTCATTCAACTACAATTGCCTAAATAAGGGGTTGCCTCATTGGAAGAAGGTTGGTCTAGTGTCTCAATCATGCACAGTATAGTGAAATATGGCTTAATTACAAGTTTTTACTATTAAGTGCAAACATTGGTAGGGCAATCATGTGCAATTTGGTGAAATATGGCTTAATTACAATTAACTGACTAATCATAAAATCTAATGCAGAACAACTAACTTAATTAATACGAGTGTCTGCTTCCTCTATTTATTGGGTTGCAGTATACTTTGACTTTTATTACACAATTTTGACCATTAATATCCGTAATTGTATAAGTATTTAATTAAAATTATAAATACAATATACATTGTTTAAGTGAATTTTTTTTTTTTTTTACACAGTAACATTAAGGGTCAAAGCTATTCGATCTATGAATTGTGTAAAAGTCAAACAACTGCAATAAGATGTCAATCATTAATTCTCTTGTAATGATTGCAAACATAAGGAAAAAGAAAGGAAATTAAGGCTTTAATATTACAATATCAAGTATATTCTCTATTATAAACAATTGCAAATGACACAAGTATGTAATAGCATGTGAATTTAAAGTTACAGTTGAATACAAAGAAAGTATCAATTGGATAGAAATTATGGGGGCAAGATTATATTTCCAAATGTGTGCATTGTTTTTTCCTGCTATAAATAAATCCCTGGGATTTTGCTGAAAGAAAAACTCAGAATTACTAACAATTCTAATTACAGTACATCACTTGTATCAAATTTTAGGAACATAATAGATAGAGATCAGAGCAGCTAATTTACCCATGAAAATGAAGCTAGCTTTGGCAATGATTGTAGTTGCATGTTTCTTAAGCTCGCGCATTCAAGCAGCACTGCAAGTAGGATTCTATCTCAATACATGTCCCTTTGCTGAAGCTATAATTAGGAAGGAGGTGTTTAAATCTTTTCTTAGAGACAACGGGATTGCTCCTGGCATTGTTAGGCTGCATTTCCATGACTGCTTTGTCAGGGTAAAATATTACACACATTATATTTGTTATTCTTGCTCTTCCTCATATGCATACATACATGATTATGTACTTCAACATATATGTTTGTGAGTGAAACTCTTGTTTTTGTTACAGGGTTGTGATGCATCAATCCTTATAGATTCAACCTCAACAAATCAAGCTGAGAAGGATGGTCCACCCAATGGAATTACTTTACGAGGACTTGAAGTGATTGACAATGCTAAGGCTAGACTCGAAGCTGCTTGTAAAGGGGTTGTGTCGTGTGCTGATATCCTTTCATTTGCTGCAAGGGACTCAGTATTATTTGTAAGACCATCAATAACCAACCTCAATTTTTTTTTTTTAAAATCTTTTGTTAATAGCTAAATTTTGTACAATCAATTACTTCAGTCATCTGATATTGTTTTGGCCTTATTGAGCATGTAGACTGGTGGACAATACTGGAATGTACCAGCAGGACGTAGAGATGGCAGGATTTCGAGAGCATCAGAAACAATAGAAATCCCTGCTCCGTCGTTTGACCTTGATCAACTCACTCAATCTTTTGCAAACAAGGGCTTAACACAGGATGAGATGGTTATTCTTTCTGGTAAGTCTGTTTCTTTTTCATTTAATAAGTTCACTGTGACCTTTCCTTGGAAAATATAACAAAAAAAACAGTTAGAAACGAAAATTTAAAACATAATTAACTATAATAATGTGTTTTACTTATATGTTTACAGGAGCACATACAATTGGGCGCTCACGCTGTTCCTCATTCACTAATAGACTCTACAACTTTAGCACCACGACGATGCAGGACCCAAACCTAAATCCATCCTTTGCAGAGTCTTTGAAGCAACAGTGCCCCAGAAATTCTCAAGGAAATGTTGATCAAAACTTGGCTGTTTTCATGAACCAAAGTCCATTTCTTATGGAATCGAGCTACTATAGCAATCTTTTCCAACATGGCAGTCTATTTACCTCTGATCAGGCGCTTCTAGACAGTCAGGAAACTGCACAAGATGCAGCAGATTATGCATCAAACGGTTTTGCTTGGCGCAGAGATTTTGCTCAAGCTATGATCAAGATGAGCCAGATTCAAGTTCTGACTGGTGATCAAGGAGAGATTCGAGCTAATTGCAGGGTGATTAACCCATAAAAGGAATAAACAAATTGGCCACAGAGCAGAATTTGCAGCATTTCCTGCTGTTACTGTAGTTCTGTTTTTACTACTTTACTAGTAAAGCTCTCTTAAAGCCAGTTTAAATATTGGGCTACCATTCTCACAATGTTTCCTGAATTGTCAGACTATAATAAGGATAGAGTTTCAGGAATGCCAGACAATACGCCGACCTTTATTAATTTTCTTGGTGAATTATGTGTTAGTGTTAAAATGAAACCAAATGACAAATTTACATGTACCTTACTAATTAAACCTGATCCAAAATTTCCTATGAGACCTTATTTATACCTTTTCACCTAATGGAAAATTGTTCCAAAGTGACTTGAAGGTCTCAAGTTCAAGTGTGACGAAATCCCTTCTCTGAAGAACAAGTTAAAAGTTACATACTATGTTACGCGAACTCTTCATTATACCTCAAGGACCCATGTTGGATACTAAACAACCCAACATGAGAATGAACATTTCAACACTTATTTGATTAGCACCAAGTCATAAGATAGTCGAGCCTAACGCTGAGACAATTGACACATACCTGTGGGTTATCAAGTCTGAGTAAATATACATTACATATACAATTCAAGGGTACATTTGATACCCCTGAGCAAGCCCCCACTACATCAATGGGAATACTGTCATGCATTTCTGTTGCGTTCTGAAAGGGATTTCTCAAGTTTTGACCTTGATCAGGCATTTATCTTATTTATCCTAATTATCTTCCTAAGGTGACATTTAAGTTGCCTAGCATCACAGTCCATCAATCTGAACTTTTATTTGCTGCAGAAGTAAAATATACAATTAGTCAAATATTAGTGGTAAGTTTACAGGTTTAAGATTAGATAGAAGACAAAGGCGGCGTAACTCTAGAGCACAATCAAACTTACTTAGTATTAATCTTGTTAAGTATTCCATATCAATCTTCAGCTGCAATGCTCCACAGTCCTCAGTTTTCCACCACTCAAATCAATACACAGTGGACACTTCCTGATTGATCCATAAGCGAAGCCACTTTTTACGGGTCAATAACATTAATTAGCACTTACTTAGCAAGGAGTGCCTGTATATGACCACAATCAAATAAATAATTGTAGGCCTAACCAATCCTCTTTGTCTTATCTTCCAAATTGTCTGTAAACATCAAAACACTAATGAGTCATGACAGTATACTGCTTCTGTATAACGCACTAAGAATTAAGATCATGGAATTGAACATTAAATAAACTAAGATTATTAAAATTGTGGCGCGAATATATAATTTTATATTGCCTCTCTTTGACTATATAAGTCCCTTCAAAGGTGCACAAGATCTTCAAAGTAAGTAAACAGACATTGTCAGAAGTATCAGTACAGAAAAAGAAAGATGAGTCAAATTAGGAAATGTCTTCATTTTTCAACTACTATAGCTTTTTCAATCTTGGTCATATTAAGTCTTACCGGCTTCTTAGAAGCTCAACTTCAACGAGGATTTTATATGCAGTCATGCCCTATGGCTGAGTTCATCATAAAAAATGAGGTCCGAGAAGCATTTTTCAGCAATAGGGGATATGCTGCTGGCCTCGTAAGGCTGCATTTCCATGATTGTTTCGTTAGAGTAAGTTACTTATAATCTGACTACGTAACTTTTGTATTTTAATTGCACCTTCCTAGTTTTGTTGAGCAGCCAGTTATTGCAAAGACAAGTTATAGGCTTATAGGTGCAACCGAAAATTAGTGGGATTATATTCCTAAAACTGGGTGTCTTTTCAGTAACCTCCCTAGCTAAATTCCAAGGAAACAATCATTGGGCCTTATATGAAAAAGAGAGAAAATTCATATGCATAATTAAAGCTTCATTTAGTTGGTATAAGCACTTTTTTTTTTTTAAACCAACTTCCACTGATTGAACGTATTTCTTCCAGAAACTTGCAAGCAAAAGTGCCTAGTTTTAAAGGATACTGTGGTGCATGACTGAATGCAGGCCCCTATATAGTATCAGTAACTCTTAATGTTTCAACTTAAAGCTAATGTTCTGGAAGTAATGAGGTTTACACTCATAGGTCAAGTGTGCACAATTATAATCTAATAATATTTGTTATGTTACTTGTAGGGATGTGATGGATCAGTGCTCCTGGATTCAACTCCAGGAAGCACAGCCGAGAAAGATGCACCAGCAAATAATCCTAGCCTGCGAGGGTTTGATGTCATCGATAATGCCAAGGCTAAAATTGAAAATATGTGTCCAGGAGTTGTGTCCTGTGCTGATATAGTAGCCTATGCTGCTAGAGATAGTGTTGAAATGGTAACTAAACTAAAGAACACATAGAAAGTTCTGCCAACTTTAGCTGTAAATTTGATGTTGTAGTAGTAGTAATTAACTGGCGTGTTTGATCATTTATGTAGGCGGGAGGATTTGGCTATGATGTTTATGCCGGAAGAAGAGATGGTAGAATCTCCCTAGAATCAGACATCAAGAAGAACTTGCCTCCAGCATTTGGCGACGTTGAACTACTCACTAAAATATTTGCCAGCAAAGGATTAACACAAGAAGAGATGGTTATCCTATCGGGTAAGGAATTAACAAATTTTAATTTTACTTTATACTTTAGTGCTTTCTTGTTCATATGTTACTCAATATCTTGTGCAAAAGAAACTGAAACAGGAAGATAAGCCTCCCCTCAAAGCTTTGTAACTAATAATTACTTGACAAATTTCCGGGGTGCAGGGGCTCATACCATAGGTCGCGCTCACTGCAATTCCTTCACTGATAGGCTATACTCTTTCAACTCAGCATCAGGACAGGATCCCAGTTTAAATGCCGCTTATGCAGCTCAACTGCAGAAGCAGTGCCCATCAGTGAACTCAGATACCAGTACTGTGGTTCCAATGGATCCAAGCCCCTTCACAGCAGATACTGCTTACTACAGAAACATCCTGAATAACCGCGGCCTGTTTACATCAGATCAAGCACTAGCGTCAGACCCTGTCACTGCAGGCCTAGTTACCCAATACGCAAGAAATCCTGGGCTTTGGGGAAGGAAGTTTGCTGATGCAATGGTGGCCATGGGTCAGATCGACGTCCTCACTGGTGATGAAGGGGAAATCCGAATCAATTGTAGAGTTGTTAATTAATCAAATGGAGATGTCTAGATTGTGCTAGGTGCTGAAAGCAATAAAATGAAAGTAATATATGGCTTTGTAGATTACAGGCTTCAGCAATAAAATTGTAATGGTTGTATATGTTTGATCTAGTACCTCAAAGCTATTGTTATTTGAAATTAGTGACACTATCTTAACTACTTCTTGATTTCCTCAACTACTACTACTGAATATTCTATTTTCTGCTGACTTTCTGAGTATTAACTATGCCCCTGAGCAAGCCCCCACTACATCAATGGGAATACTGTCATGCATTTCTGTTGCGTTCTGAAAGGGATTTCTCAAGTTTTGACCTTGATCAGGCATTTATCTTATTTATCCTAATTATCTTCCTAAGGTGACATTTAAGTTGCCTAGCATCACAGTCCATCAATCTGAACTTTTATTTGCTGCAGAAGTAAAATATACAATTAGTCAAATATTAGTGGTAAGTTTACAGGTTTAAGATTAGATAGAAGACAAAGGCGGCGTAACTCTAGAGCACAATCAAACTTACTTAGTATTAATCTTGTTAAGTATTCCATATCAATCTTCAGCTGCAATGCTCCACAGTCCTCAGTTTTCCACCACTCAAATCAATACACAGTGGACACTTCCTGATTGATCCATAAGCGAAGCCACTTTTTACGGGTCAATAACATTAATTAGCACTTACTTAGCAAGGAGTGCCTGTATATGACCACAATCAAATAAATAATTGTAGGCCTAACCAATCCTCTTTGTCTTATCTTCCAAATTGTCTGTAAACATCAAAACACTAATGAGTCATGACAGTATACTGCTTCTGTATAACGCACTAAGAATTAAGATCATGGAATTGAACATTAAATAAACTAAGATTATTAAAATTGTGGCGCGAATATATAATTTTATATTGCCTCTCTTTGACTATATAAGTCCCTTCAAAGGTGCACAAGATCTTCAAAGTAAGTAAACAGACATTGTCAGAAGTATCAGTACAGAAAAAGAAAGATGAGTCAAATTAGGAAATGTCTTCATTTTTCAACTACTATAGCTTTTTCAATCTTGGTCATATTAAGTCTTACCGGCTTCTTAGAAGCTCAACTTCAACGAGGATTTTATATGCAGTCATGCCCTATGGCTGAGTTCATCATAAAAAATGAGGTCCGAGAAGCATTTTTCAGCAATAGGGGATATGCTGCTGGCCTCGTAAGGCTGCATTTCCATGATTGTTTCGTTAGAGTAAGTTACTTATAATCTGACTACGTAACTTTTGTATTTTAATTGCACCTTCCTAGTTTTGTTGAGCAGCCAGTTATTGCAAAGACAAGTTATAGGCTTATAGGTGCAACCGAAAATTAGTGGGATTATATTCCTAAAACTGGGTGTCTTTTCAGTAACCTCCCTAGCTAAATTCCAAGGAAACAATCATTGGGCCTTATATGAAAAAGAGAGAAAATTCATATGCATAATTAAAGCTTCATTTAGTTGGTATAAGCACTTTTTTTTTTTTTAAACCAACTTCCACTGATTGAACGTATTTCTTCCAGAAACTTGCAAGCAAAAGTGCCTAGTTTTAAAGGATACTGTGGTGCATGACTGAATGCAGGCCCCTATATAGTATCAGTAACTCTTAATGTTTCAACTTAAAGCTAATGTTCTGGAAGTAATGAGGTTTACACTCATAGGTCAAGTGTGCACAATTATAATCTAATAATATTTGTTATGTTACTTGTAGGGATGTGATGGATCAGTGCTCCTGGATTCAACTCCAGGAAGCACAGCCGAGAAAGATGCACCAGCAAATAATCCTAGCCTGCGAGGGTTTGATGTCATCGATAATGCCAAGGCTAAAATTGAAAATATGTGTCCAGGAGTTGTGTCCTGTGCTGATATAGTAGCCTATGCTGCTAGAGATAGTGTTGAAATGGTAACTAAACTAAAGAACACATAGAAAGTTCTGCCAACTTTAGCTGTAAATTTGATGTTGTAGTAGTAGTAATTAACTGGCGTGTTTGATCATTTATGTAGGCGGGAGGATTTGGCTATGATGTTTATGCCGGAAGAAGAGATGGTAGAATCTCCCTAGAATCAGACATCAAGAAGAACTTGCCTCCAGCATTTGGCGACGTTGAACTACTCACTAAAATATTTGCCAGCAAAGGATTAACACAAGAAGAGATGGTTATCCTATCGGGTAAGGAATTAACAAATTTTAATTTTACTTTATACTTTAGTGCTTTCTTGTTCATATGTTACTCAATATCTTGTGCAAAAGAAACTGAAACAGGAAGATAAGCCTCCCCTCAAAGCTTTGTAACTAATAATTACTTGACAAATTTCCGGGGTGCAGGGGCTCATACCATAGGTCGCGCTCACTGCAATTCCTTCACTGATAGGCTATACTCTTTCAACTCAGCATCAGGACAGGATCCCAGTTTAAATGCCGCTTATGCAGCTCAACTGCAGAAGCAGTGCCCATCAGTGAACTCAGATACCAGTACTGTGGTTCCAATGGATCCAAGCCCCTTCACAGCAGATACTGCTTACTACAGAAACATCCTGAATAACCGCGGCCTGTTTACATCAGATCAAGCACTAGCGTCAGACCCTGTCACTGCAGGCCTAGTTACCCAATACGCAAGAAATCCTGGGCTTTGGGGAAGGAAGTTTGCTGATGCAATGGTGGCCATGGGTCAGATCGACGTCCTCACTGGTGATGAAGGGGAAATCCGAATCAATTGTAGAGTTGTTAATTAATCAAATGGAGATGTCTAGATTGTGCTAGGTGCTGAAAGCAATAAAATGAAAGTAATATATGGCTTTGTAGATTACAGGCTTCAGCAATAAAATTGTAATGGTTGTATATGTTTGATCTAGTACCTCAAAGCTATTGTTATTTGAAATTAGTGACACTATCTTAACTACTTCTTGATTTCCTCAACTACTACTACTGAATATTCTATTTTCTGCTGACTTTCTGAGTATTAACTATGCATCCATTCCAAAACATAGTTGCTAAATCAAGAATAAAAAAAACCCCTTAACTTTAGAAAAGTCAATAAAAACACCCTACTTCCCCTCACCCATAGTTTTGGCTCAGTAACTATTAGAACTTCGGATTGTTCGGAAGACTAGAAAATAGAAGACCGGATATTCTTTTAGGTAGGTAGGTAATAATAACACTTTCCTACTAGATATTTTTCAACAGAACCTCTAGAAAACATGGTTAACACGGTATACCCAATGAAATACAAGATTGTTTAGCAAAACCAATCTACAAGAATTATGTGTATGGGATTTTCACAACACTTTAACAACAACTGTCTTATTAATTTGTGTTAAGAATAATGTGAAAGGGAGTTTTTTCAGCAAGAGATACTGTTTCCTTTATAATTAAAATGTATATGGTTTTTCACTAATTAAGATATACTTAGTAAATCATTATACACTTGTATCACTTTACAGTACATTGTAAGTAATTAGAAAAGAAAGTTTCAAGCCATACCATATTTTCCTTTTTCCATCTTCTTGTAACTATAATTTCGTAGTAGTAAAAATTTGATAATTAAATATTTGATAAATAGAAAATTCTAACAAGATCCAATTTGATTTAGATAAGTTCAAATCAAATTTGCACACCTAATTTCAAATTAAAAGAACATATTGTTAGCTACCTTATGAATTCAACCAGGTCACCACACCTCCCTTCATATAATAACACCCATTCCAAAGTTAAGTTAAACAAAGGCAACTACTAGTCTACGACGCCTCTAATCAAGTGGCCAGAACTTCCACCTTAAACTAAGGCAACTGTTGAAAAAGTGTTCAAACACACAACAACCAGTTGAAAAACATGACTACAGTTATATGAGATCAATGCTTCCACTAACAAATATATAATTAATTACGTATTAATTCAGGTCACGCTATCTAATACGAAGTATATATACTAATAAAGTATTATACTGCATTAGGTAGTTCATACCCCCACTCTAAGTAGATGACAAATTAACAAAACCTACCACTAATTGCCTAATTGTACTAATTGCACATGTTTCATTATCATTATTATAGAATTCTGCCCATTTTCTGAAGTTAATTAATGATAGTAGTATGAGTAGATTATCACTAGGGAAACTCCCATCTAAACTGTAAGCATGAAAGTTTGGTCTGTTGTAAGTGCTTCTTACAGAAAGGTGAACATTTCATCATCAAAGTACATAATATCAAACTCTATGAACCTATGATAAAGCACGGTCCTTATTTGCAGAATCAGTTGTCCCAACGTATACTAAGTTGACACGGTGGAGATTCAACCGGCTTTGCTTGTGAGAAATAAGTGACATGATCTAAAAATCAACCTTGTTGGGCATAAATTCCATAAATAAAAGACTATAACTGTACAGTAGCTTGTTACTTCATAAACTTTCTGATGATCCTTTTGTGAGAATATGATCAGCTAATCATCATAGTTTTTGAAAGGGTAAGGACTTCCTAACAAGTTTCTGATAGGTTAAACAGACAGGTATAATTGTATAGAAGACGATTATGAACTCATGATTACGCTTTTTTCTTATTACCTAGAGAAAATGCATTTCAGGGAAAATATATTAGAATGTCATTCAGAGCCTTCACTTTTCAATGCACTTAAATCACTAATCACCACAGCAGTAAGGATGAAATATAATATCTCGCAGTGCTCCAATTCACCCAATAATAATGCAGTAAACACCATTAACAGAAAAATAATTCCGCCATTTCCATCCTATAGGACCAAAATTTCCAGAAAAAAAAAAAATCTATGGAGCCTCATCCATCTCCACTAAGTTTTAATCAACAAGAGACATCCTATGAGACAATACTTGTATCGACAGTCATTGCTGACTGTCTAATCACCCTTAGATTGTGCCTTAAAAAATGAGAGTTAACAATGAAATGCATACTTAGAATAATATACAGTGACAGTGACAGTGACAGCTTAATAATGCCCGAAAATCAGCACTATTAGTCCTAATATATACCTATTCAACTAATCTTGTTGGCTTCTTATGCATCCGAAGTCAATAGAAGTAGGAATAATCCGCTTTAGGGGTGGCTAAATAGTGCTTATCATCCGTATTCCATAATCAAAATGAATTAGACAGGTCAGTAACTATCAGAAAATTCTAGTTTGTGTTTTCTTCTATCTAAAAATGCCATGTTGCAGATTTAAATAAATCCAACATATTGTATCACCACGCACTAATTAGGATGTACACCATTTTATATTCCTTGTTTTCGGCTATAAGATGGTTATTACTGCATGTTTAGGTTCTTCAAGAAGAAAACATAGTACAATAAGACAGAATGAACCTAAAAATGAACATTCACTCTTCAATAAAATTTCTTGTTCTGTTTTTGGCTTTCTCTTGTCTAAGTGTTCAGCTAGAAGCACAGCTTCGAGTTGGATTTTACTGCAACTCATGTCCATCAGCTGAGCGCATTGTCAGTGAAGAAGTAACGAAAGAATTTATGAATGACAAAGGGATTGCCCCTGGTCTTGTCAGAATGCACTTTCATGACTGTTTTGTTAGAGTAAGTTAGATATCTTAATCAATGTTATCTATTCTTCAGTGAACTACAAATCTAAATTTTCCTAAGCAAGTTTTCTTTCTGATCTTTTCAGGGGTGTGATGGATCCGTTCTCATTGACTCCACTTCTGCAAACACAGCTGAGAAGGATTCACCAGCAAACAATCCCAGTCTTCGAGGGTTTGAAGTCATCGACAACATAAAAACTAGACTTGAAGCTGAATGCAAAGGGGTAGTATCATGTGCAGATATATTAGCTTTCGCAGCTAGAGATAGTGTAGCAATAGTAAGTAGAATTTTTTTAACCGATAGGAAATAGTATATACTATATAAGCTTGGGTAGAGCAAATTTAACTCTGTTACCTGCTGCTACTGCATAACTTTTTTCGCAGACCAGAGGACAAAGATATGATGTTCCATCTGGAAGAAGGGATGGCAGGGTCTCTTTAGCTTCAGAAGTGCTGCAAAACGTCCCAGGATTCACATTTAACGTTACTCAACTTACACAGAGTTTCACAAACAAAAATTTGACACAGGAAGAAATGGTCACCCTATCAGGTATCAGCTTTTTAGCATATTCTACATTTGTAGCATAAATCTTCAAATTATCAAACTCAACTTTCAAGGATAAATCTAAGTATATAAGGGTCTACAAACAGCAATCAGCTGTTCAAGTGGTCGTCATCAGTTTCATTAACTACTAACCAGCCAATAATTGAGAAATTAGGCCATGTTCTCTTCAACTTATTATATTATAGTTCATTAGATATTAGATTTATTCAGTAAAAAATAAGTTTTGACAAGTCAAAATCAGATTTAACAGCATATGACAAACACTACTGAATCAAAAACATCAGCAATTCAAGTCAGCAAAAACCATTTTTACAGTAACAAACAATTATACACGTGACAGGACCTTAGCTGTAAGTGGTTAGTTTAACAATTAGAATTACTGGTTTTACACTATCACAAAGGTCAAATTGGTATATATCCTGCTAGGTTTTCAAATTCATTATTCCATACCCGAGTTTGTTTGCTTTGATGGGACAAGTACCTACCTCGGCTACATGTATCTAGTATTAACTCTATTGAGAGCCTAAATCACCTCATATAAGTCTAAAATTGATCACAGGGGCTCATACAATTGGACGGTCTCATTGCACATCTTTCAACAATAGGCTATTCAATTTCAGTGGAACAAACGGGCCAGATCCCACTCTGGATTCCAAATATGCAGGACAGTTGCAGCAACAGTGCCCACAAGGAAGCACAAATTCTAGCCTGGTGGTTCCAATGGACCCTCGAAGCCCATTTATTTCAGATGTAAATTACTACCAGGATGTCTTAGCCAACAAAGGCCTGTTTACGTCTGATCAGACGTTGTTGACTGACTCCAACACAGCTAATGAGGTGAACCAGAATGCAAGGAATCAGTTCTTGTGGATGAGAAAGTTTGCAGCAGCAATGGTAAACATGGGTCAAATCGAAGTTCTTACTGGTACTAATGGAGAAATCCGGACAAACTGTAGGGTAATCAATTAAGAAATATGGGTTTATTCCCCTTGTCAAGAGATCAGACTTACTGAGTCTTAAGTAGAATTAACTCATGTTCGTTTGTGTCTTTGGAAGGATAATTTTCAGTCTCAAACATGTAATTTGATGAATTATATACTTGCAAGTCTATTTTTAGATGCAAATTGTGGAAGACTACCATGAACCTGAAGTACTGAGGAAAACAGAAACAGATAATCAAGTACCCCTTTGGATTATTGACTTATTGCACGATTGATGCTATGATGACTTCCCTTGTCCTTTACTCTAACCTTGGTGGAAGCTTTTTAAGAGGCATCAGAGTAATTTTATAGTTCTTTCTATTTACATTTGACACAATCAGCAAACCCTTCACCAGGGCAATGGCAGCAACCTATTGTAACATGTAATGTTATGTTTTAGAAATGGATCCCTTCCCCTGCTATTATCTTTCCTTGGACTGGCAAACTCAGTTTGCCTAGCATCAGAGTCCACGAATCTAAAATTCCATTTGTTTAACGAGAACAGCATCTTCAAGAAATGGTTGCTTTTAGTTGATGGAGCAAGAAACTAGCTAGCATTAAAAACACTGGATAAACTAACAACAAAGCTGCATAAATACTCCGTTGTGCAGGAGCTAATAACATAGGTCATGCTGACTGCACTTCCTTCAGCAAAAGGCTGTATGCACAGGATCCCAGCATGAACTCTGCATTTGCAGCTCAAATGCAGCAGTAGTGCCGATCAGGGGATGCTGGTGCTAATATTGTGGTTTAATGGATCCTAATAATCCCGTAAAATCTGACTCTGGAATTCTGGATGTCCTCAATAACCATGGCTTGTTCACAACAGATCAGACTCTCTTGTCAGACACTGCTAAAACAGAGCTAGTAAACCAGTATGCCCGAAATTCTTACTCCCAGGTAATGAAGTTTGATGATGCTATGGTGAGGATGGGATAGATTGATATTCTCACAGGCAATGAAGGAGAAATCCGAAGAAATTGTAGGGTGGTTAACTAAATAAAGATATGAAAGTTGCACTAATCTGAGCTGAAAGCAACAATATGAAGAATAATATTACAAAAAAGACGAGATTTTAATGATTGCAAAAATGGCTTTACAGCACTAAAATTACTGATATCATATCATATGGCTTTACAGCAAAAAATTGATTAATGTCACGTGATATGCCTTTACAGATCTAAATCCTCAATAACATTATGTAAGGTTAACTATCTTATTTGCTACTCATTGTCAGGAATGTATCCGCATCAAAATACCATAATGTTACACAAAAGCCAACTACAAAGAGCTTAAACAGGACATTGAACTTCCCACCTTATACTATTAACATACATTCAAAGACAGCACCCATAAGTGTTACAAAGTACAGTAGTAAGCATTTAGTCAGATAATGTTTTGTCTATTGTGATAGATAGGTAAAAGCACACCCCCTCATACAATGACTTGACAAATTTTAACACTCAGCAAGTATTTCATCCGTACAGTACTGTATTCTGTTAAGATCGTACATGTATTCAATAGAGTAGCAAGTACTGACTCAGGAAATACTCGTGAATGGGATCCAATCTAAGGCACTATGTCTAGAGAGATAAACATTCAAACACAGCCCACAAATTGGTTTATAATACAGTACAGGACACTGCTGGTGTGATACAAGCTAAACCTTCTTTTTTAATTCTGTTTATATTTTTACAAATACGCCCCTATGAGAGGATAATTATAGCTACTTCCAAGTAAACAATCAGTTATGTGCTTCCATGTCTTCATAGTAGCTAGGAGTATTGTCTTTATCACTGTTCCGAACCCCCCAATAATGCAATGTTACCTTTTAGAAGTAAAAAAAAAAGCCTCCCCCTTCCCAGTTTCCGTAGGACCATATTTCCCCCTTCCCCACAAACAAAAAAGGAGTCTTACCCAACTTCCCTATATTCTAACCGAAACGAAGCATCCTTTGTACAGACACTTATTGTTAACTCTAGTATTCTCAGCCTAATAGTCAGAATACTAATGAGAGCAATGCATGTTAAAATGGTACAATGACAGGTTAACTATACCAGAATATCAAAGCTATTGGTCCCATAGTATACCCAGTTCAACAGCTATCATTGGCATCTTGCGCACTGAAGTCAATAGAATCAAGGCATGCTTACTTCAGGGAGCCACACAATAAGCATATCACTTAATCCATAACAAAAATTAATAGACAGAATAATTACTTTCAGAATCATTGTAATTGTCTTTTTCCAACTAAGAGTGTCATGTGCTCAAACTAAACAAAGCAAATCTGCTGTCTAACAACACACTAATATGATTTGTTTTTCCCACTTATAAAATGGGACAACTGTGTGTTTAGGTTCTCCACGGTTGAAGCAAAGTAAAGAATCAGTCTAAAGATGCCCCTTCACTCTTCAATCGTCTTTCGTGTTCTATTTCTGGCTCTTTCTTGTCTAAGTGCTCAGACAGAAGCACAACTTAAAGTCGGGTTTTATAGTGAATCATGTGAATCAGCAGAGCGCATTGTGAATGAAGAAGTTACGAAGGGGTTTATGAAAGACAAAGGAGTTGCCCCCGGTCTAGTCAGAATGCACTTTCATGACTGCTTTGTTAGAGTAAGTTGGTTGAAACTTTTCCTGTATTGTTAATTCGATTAATAGCAAATGTTTCCCTAAGTCCCCTCTCTTCTGATACCAGGGCTGTGATGGATCCATTCTCATTGACTCCACTTCCACAAACACAGCTGAGAAGGATTCATTTGTAAACAATCCTAGCCTTCGAGGATTTGAAATTATTGACAATGCAAAGACTAGACTAGAAACTGAATGCAAAGGGGTCGTATCATGTGCAGACATTTTAGCTTTTGCAGCCAGAGACAGCGTAGTAATAGTAAGTAAGAATTTTTATTTATTTACCAGAGAACAGTTAATTTTGTAGTCTGCATAACTTGATCTGATTCACAGACAAGAGGACCAGTATATGATGTTCCAGCTGGGAGAAGGGATGGAAGAGTCTCTTTAGCTTCAGAGGTGCTACGAGACATCCCTGCACCCTCAATGAATGTTGACCAACTCACACAGAGCTTCGCGAACAGAAATCTGACACAGGAAGAAATGGTCACCCTATCAGGTATCAATAGTGAGGGTGAATTTATCTTTAACTTTGGTTGGACTTTCACACAGAAATATGCCTGGCCTTCCACTTTCAGAATTTACCGAAAGTCACAGAATAATGTACTATTCAGTTACGAGTCAGGACTTAGGAGTCCCAACACAAAGTAGTCAGTCAAATGATGTTTCCATCTAAAGGTCCTAATAAACAGCTTTTCGTTTTCAAGCAGAACCAGCAATTAGATAATATTCTTATTAACTCTTTGATGTTAGCTATCCAGTAATAAACTAGCTAATAAAATCCAAATCCATTTTAGCTAGTCATGACAGGTTTTGAATAGCTATCAACAAACACAAAGGTCGAACTGGGTTTTCTAGGTTTAAAATTATCCAATTTATACCAAAGTTCATTTGCCTGAATAAGTCTTGAACAGTTGAGCTTGAACACTTGAACCTAAGTCCCTAATCTATTGAGGACCTTAATCTGACATCAAATTCATAAACCCACTCTTGAACACAGGCGCTCATACAATTGGCCAGTCTCATTGCACATCCATCATCAACAGGCTATACAACTTCAATGGAACAAATGGGGCAGATCCTACTCTGGATTCTAAATATGCAGGACAATTGCAGCAACAATGCCCGCAAGGAAGCAAGGATTCTAGTCTGGTTGTTCCAATGAACCCTGGTAGCCCATTGGTCACAGATGTAGGCTACTACCAAGACATCTTAGCCAACCGCAGCTTGTTCACATCTGATCAGACTCTCTTGACGAACTCCAACACAGCTAGTGAGGTGAATCAGAACGCAATGAGTCAGTCATTGTGGATGAGAAAGTTTGCAGCAGCAATGGTTAAGATGGGTCAGATAGATGTTCTTATTGGCATGTCTGGTGAAATCCGGACAAACTGTAGGGTGATTAATTAGAAAAGACTAATTTATATTTATATTCTTTGTAATCAGTAGACTTAATAGATACTGGTTTAATAGTATCAGTAAATTATACGGATTAACAATTACTACAACAAAAATGTGATTAATCCAAAATCCATCAATTTAAATTGTCATTCAATTGTTTACATTCCCTTGTTCCATACATAATGATACACCTTGAACAACTGGTCAAACACCAAGTAAAACATCTAAAGATTGTATAAACCCCAATCAAATAAATAGAAAGCTACTGCAAATTTGAGGCAACAAAACCATTATATTATCAAAAGGCAAATCCAAAATAAATAGAATCGGTAGCAGTTCAAAAATGCATAACCTCATCACTAGAATGTTTAGGGCCCAAAAGAAGAATAATAAAGCTAGAATGGGCAATTAAACTCCCGAGGAGCAGGAATCAATGAGTAGGTAAGATTGCCGACCTAAGCAGTGAGCTCCATGATAGCACCAACAATGTCACCATCATGAGCCTTGAGTGCATTGACAGCCTTGCCCTTCGAAACCCCAGCTTGAGTCATAACCAACTCAATGTCTCGAGGCTCTACCCCTGTATCATCGATCTCTTCTTCCTCTTCTTGGGCAGCAGCAGAGGCAGCAGAAGCTTCTGAGTTGGCCATCATTGATGACATATCAGGCAGTCTGAACTGTTGGGCAGCTTGAGTCTGCAGCTGAGAGCTCAAGTCTTCGATCTTAGCCTCCCCAAATATGACATAGGTCTCAGAGTAAGGGCTCTTGAACACGTCAGGCTTTGAAATGAAAAAACAATATCTGTAATCCCAAAACACTCAAGTTAGACCCTTATAGTATGTTCAAAAACAACTATTATCAATAACGTTTCATGAGGAGAAATTCTTACATTTTTGGCTCTCTTGATGGTGACCCGGCTTACACCTGAGACAGGTTTCAATCCCAGTTTCAGCATTGCTTTGCGACTTTTCTTCTCACTCCTGCTCTGCTTGATACCCTCAGCTGACGCTAAATAGATACAGCAAATCGCGGAATAAAATAATTAGCACTCAAGCATTAAGAGCACGTAAAACCCATCAACCCTCATCCATAGAAATAAAAATATACTATTCACATCAGTATCTAACATAACAGTTAGAGTTCTTCAATAAAATTAAACAAATAAAACCCAGATTCCCAGCCTAACTGATACGACAAATGTTGCTCAAGCTTATACAGCAAAACGTACACAAACAACAATCAAGCAATATGCACAACAATAATCCTAACAGCTAACCAATTAAGCTACAAGATTTTCAATATATCAGGTCCAGTTTCTATCCAAAATTCAGGAATCCTAAACCACCAACCTTCCCAATTCTTCATACATCACACAGCTAAAAAAAAGTCACCAAAACCGCCAAGATCGAACAAATTCCAAGTTCCAGTCCAACACAACATATCTTCAGTCAATCCCAAACAAGTATATCAATTAAAAAAAAAAAAAAAATTCAAACATTATTATAACAACTCAAAAATCCTAGCTAATCACTCAAGATAACACAATTTTCATTTTCACGTTCAAATTTCATCAGAATTTCAATTCAACAACCCTTATCCTATTTTAAATAACCCCCATTCCAACAAATAACACAACCCAATTAAACACACATGTTTGAAATAACAAACAACAAGTTCAGCGTCACATAAAACATCAAACATGAACCAAATAAGAAACTTTACGATCAAATAAGAGCCATAAACCCTAAGTAAGAACATTGAACAAACAAAAACAAAATTTAAAATCGAAAGACAATAAATTTATAAAAATAAAGAACAAAGAAGAAAATTACTTAAGGTAGTGTCATCCTCCTCATCATCATCGTCGTCATCATCTTCATCGTCATCCTCATGTTCATCCTCCTTAACATCTTCAACAATTACTTCATCTTTCTGCAAAATTCAGATAAAAAAATGCAAATAGAATCAATACCCAATAAAATTAAACCCAAAAAAAAAAACCCCAGAAAAATGGTAATTGAGAATGAAATAACCTCCTCTTCTTTAACAGGAATCGGAATTTGTTCTTCTTCAACAACTGGAACAGGCATGGTGGTGGGAAATGTGTGATTCTCTCTCCTCTGGAAGAAGATGATGAGTGGCAGAGAGAAGGAGTGAGCTTTTTTGGTTTTTAGTTTTAATGGGGTTTTGTTTGGTTGGTTGAAGAATGAAGATAAACTTGGTTTTTGAGAGAAAATGACGTCTGAGTAATTGGGTATTTTATGTCTATTTCAATTGTTGGGCTTATAAGCCTTTATATAAAGTAGTCTTTCATTTGGGTATAGTTTGTTAGTCATGGCCTTTATATAGGACTATGAAGAAAGAGATAGCTATGAATTTTAATTACTCAATGTGAGCATGGTTTATAGGAGGAATTTGTTCCAAAATGGCTTATACGAAGTACGTTTTTATATGAGGGTATAATGGAAATAAATTATAGTCGTAAGAGCATCCACAATGGTTGTATAGGTGCTTGCTTATAATTTTTAAATAGTTGGAGCTAGTAGCTTACCTTTGTGGAGCTATAAGGGTTGTAACTTCGATGAAACTTCAAAACTTCATGCTCTATAAAGCTATGTAGTTTCACTTCACCCAAAACATATGTTGTCTTCTTTGAATCAATAAATTGTTTGTAATTTCTTTTTCTGCATTTACTCTCTTTTTATTTTTTTATTTTGCAAAAGGTGATACCTTGTCATTATGGAGGTAGTAGCTAAAGGGAAATGACAAATAAATTTTTGGATACTAAAATAGATGATGGAAAAAGTAATAAGGGACGAATGAAACACTTTCAATGTCGGAGTAATATATATTAGTATGAATTGTCATACATGTTTTTCAAAAGATAAAAGCATGCATCACGTGCATTTAGAGATATTTAATTAAAACCAATGTTACGGGTAAGTCATCACCAAATTTTTTTGATATAAAAGCTAGTGATGAGTCATCACAAAATTTGCATATACTTGAAATGAGTCTACTTTTCTTGAATAAAAGAGTAAGGGAACGAATAGAGTTGTCACTTCGGGTGTCTGGATCGGATTCGATAAAGTCGGGTAAGTTCTATTTTGAATTTAAGTCATGTTAAATTATTATATCTATACAAGTCGAAATATAAAATTGTTTTTTTTTTCATGGTCGGTTTTCGTTGGGTTGGTATTTGACACCTACTAAGAGAGAAGAGATAAAGATACATGGAGTTAAGAAATACTCTTGTATGTATTTTTAAAGGACATTCATAAAATTGGAGGGAGATGATCGAGGTGGCAAAAGAAAGAGATTAAAAACACCGATTTCCTCAAAGCTTTTGTGGAACAGAGTTGGACCCTAAAATTACTTAAAAGAGTCTAACTAGCTCCTTTGTTACAAAAACAATTATAAATTCAATCATTTGTCTTCGAGCATGCAATAACCAATCTTCAATCTTCAGCTCCCAAGCCTGAAGCCTTCAATCACTGTAAGCCATGTACGATTTCCGCTTCCTTCGTAAACCTTGTTACCAGTAGCATCACAATGCTTGGGAGCAGAAGAATTTTTGGCCCATTTCTTGCAAGGCGCGGGGCTATCACAAACACAGCAATAGCACTGCAATTATACCAATAAGAAATATCGAATGCTTAATCGAAGAAAGAACTGTCTACACAAGGATGCCCCAGTTTCTAAAACAAAATTTGTTTCTCACGTGACATTATTGTAAATAAACCAATAATTTTATTTGACTTTATTCAATTGTGGAGCTCATAATAATGGAAAAATTGTTGATTTATTCACGAAAATGCCTTCATGAGAAACAAATTTCGTTTTTCATTATGAGAAACAGGGAATTTCCCCTAACAAAGAGGTAATGATGTTAGCAATGAGAGATAGATAACGTTAGCAAAGAGTACCATTTTGCAGTGAGTTTCGTGGCGAGTTTTGTTAAAAGGGTGGACGACACAGAGGTGCCTTGGATGTGGATAGTCCCTACAAGCCACCTGCCAATTATTTTAAAAAGGACATTATTATCATCAACATCATTACAGAAAACCAATTAACCAAACACACAAACTTTTGTAGGAAATTTACACAACAATTTAGTGATTTACAAATATTACTGACAAAAACAAACAGCAGGTTAGGATCATCAAACTATTACTACCTGGCCTTTTTTGGCGACAACAGCAATGTTAGGAGCATCTTGAACTTCTTCTAGGCACTTGGAGAGCGAAGAAAGATCAAACGATTCATAAGGATCGAACTCCAATATAAAGCAATCTTCAACCTTTTCGATATCCTTTATACGTTTCTTATTCTTCAGACAAAATACTGATCTCATGGGAGGCTGCTCTTCAGCAGGAGGTGGTGAAACAATGATACTCATCACTTTCCTTTCAAAGTAACTGGAAATTATGTTAAGTATCAAGAAACTTTTTTGTTCAATAATACTGTGCAAACAATTTAAAATTTCAGTACTACTGTAGTAATTAGTACAGTAAATAATACAATTACCTGCAAGATTTCTCTTCTAGCAATTTAAGCAAGAAATTTATCTGTGATTAATAAAACAAACGATTTACCATATTTCAATGCATTTGAAGAAACATAATTAATACTTTGTTTGACTGTCATACAAATAACTCTACTTAGGTTGAGTAATGAGGCACATTTGATAGATGTATATCCAACTATTAGTAAATATGTGTCACATACTTGTTTATGAGGGGTCGGGACAATGTTCATAGCATCATACACATAAGTAATACGGAGTATACCAACTCAGTAGTTAAGTCACTTGCAGTGATGCTCTTAGGCACACGAGCACTCTGAACTATGATTTCGTCCCTGCGCTGCACACTGAGTGGTGCTTCTTTTGGGGTTCGCATCCAAACTACATGTAATTAGAAATCACAAGTGGTTAACTTCTTCAAATTACTGTTGTAAGAAGTACAAGTATATATATTCATATACAACATCTACAACACCAGAAATACAAATACATGACTCTCTATTATACAATTCTGATGCATAAAGTTCTGATGATACAATTCGCTTCACAGTAGAGGAATAAACAAACCTGTAATGTCACATGTCGCTTTAGGAAGTATATACCCGGCTATGGGGTGTATAGAATACTTGCCAGAATTTGTTCGCATTCTTTTGATCTTGCTCCACACATACAGAAAATATTAATCAATTTACTAGCTAGTATTCTTTCTGAATATAAGTAATACTGTAATTCCTATAACATAAACTTAGTAAATTAGAACTACCTTGAATACAACAAGGTTGTCTGTTTTGTTCGTCAGATGCATAGAACAATAGATCATCTTCCCCAATTCAGCTTCATATAATGTAATTTCACAAGAAAAAAACAAAGAGGTTAACAAGGAAAAGCCAAGTTGATATAAGATGCACGACTACACGAGTACGGAGCAGTACTTTGCTTACATACAGCTTACAAGACTACTCTTGTCGTGCAGAATTAAGAGAAATATGACTCGTAAAAAATGGAATAGAGGGTACCGACTACCGAGTACTAATTAAATAATTACATGGATCGGAGTAGTACAAAGACTGAAAGACGTGATAAACTCTTTGCCTTTTCATCTTCTGTTAGGGCATGCATAGCAAGCGAAGTAAGCAATAGGCCTTTAAGTTAGCTCCGTTTCCCTAGGCGAAAACTGAAAAGTAATGCTTTCCAAGATACTCTTAACTCTTAAGTCATGAGATTAAGTTACTCATTTACTCGTATTTTCATTCCAAAACATTATCCGTATTAGTCAAATGATACTTATTTGGAAGGAGAAGCTAACCACATACAAGTCTGTAATAGTTACACCATAAACTTGATTAGATTTTTATATGGTTTGACTCCTGTGCCGTGGGTACTTTCCACCAAATATACATCCATTTGGTTATTGGTATTTTTGTTGAATTTAGTATGTATTTCTTTAAAATTGGATATCATTTGACCCAAAGTAACCATCCAATATAAAACATACCAAACAAATTCAAACTTAAATTGGCTCAAATCTATTCCATTTCAAACAAAAGTTGACAGATTTGAATTGACTTGAACATTATTTAAACAAAACTCTAAAATTTCAATTCATACACAAGCAAAGGTTTAATTAGACTTTAGACAACAGGGGTCATACACATTCATCAGATTAGTTACAATGAGTTAGCTTTTCTTCATTCGACATAGTCCAAGTCTGAGTCGGACTCATAGTCTTGTCCCCTCTTTTTTCTCCGTAGATACAACCAATCGCTATAAGGTCCATGATCTGCATCGCAGTGGTCGGACCATTCAGCACAAGGAGCAGCTATATCACAAACATAACAGTGACACTGCAACAACATACAATCGACCATTAGTCATTTACAGTACGAACAAAGTAAAATCTTATTATACAAACTTACCCTTGTAAAGAGGAATTTATAAATTATTTGATTAACAGGAGTATATAATCTTTAAAGCGAAAATGTACCAGCTTACAATGGGTCTTATGGGGTGTCTTTGAGAATGGATATCGAGCGCACTGGTACCTTGAATGCGGAAAGTCTCTTAAAGCTATCTGTCAAATGTTCACAACATACAAATGATCATGTTATTCATGTATGATCATGTTAGACCAATATTGCAACTTTAACATCATTTTAATGCCAATGAGGCCGGGACCTCAAGTAGGTGTCTAAGAGGGCTAGATATACGCAACCTTACAAATCTGATAATAGTTTTCAAATAAACGGCTATACATAACAATGATAAGTTGAAGTACCTTGCCACGTTGAGCAATCACTTTGACATCAGGAGCATCATCATCTTGATCGACAGACTGAGAAGGGGAAGGAGGCTTCGACTATGATTCATAAGGATCAAAATCTAAGATGAAACAGTCTTCAACCATTTCGAATTCTCTTAAGCGTTTTTTGTTTTTCAGAGAAATTACTGATCTAATGAGAGGTTGTTCTTTATCTGGAGATGTTGAAGCTGTTGCATTCTTCACCCATCCACTTTCCATTTCTTTTTTTTTAAAAGAAAATGAGAAGGTACATGATCATAAAGAGTAGTAAATACTACTCTATTTAATACTAATACATTTATATGCATGCACATCATTTTTGGGACTATAAAACCAATAACCCCTCCGAATTTCCATCTCTAAGTACGATATATTTTATAAGTCGTTCAAAATACGCCCTCGGTCTCAATTTACTTGCTTCACTTTGACCATAAAACTATCACAACAAATTGATCAAATGAAACAAATAAAACGAGATTGAGGGAGTAAATGATCAAGTGAAAGTACCACAATTTACCTGTCACCATTCTCATAAATCATAAGCAAAAGAAAAGTGAAACTATCACCCTTTAATCCCACAAATAATAAATCATGTGTTCAGATCACCAAATGAAGGGGAAAAAGCACTAGGGCACTAACGTTGTAGGATTTACAAGTTCAATTGTTTTGATTGTAGTGACTACTGATCGACCTCATGACATATACTTGTATCTTGCAAGTAACATTCATCAAAACTTGCATAGATTTTCCTCCTTTTCGAGATCCTAAGATCGGTCCAAATCTGATTATCAGGAACGGCTTCGCAATGCGTGAAATAAGTTGATTGTTTAGTCCATTGCTCGCACGGTGCTGGTACATCACAAACATAGCAATAGCACTGCAGTAATCAAACCACAAGCATAAATTCACAACAAAATATTATGACCATAATATGAAGGTTAATACAGAACTAGTGGAGGCAAATTCAGGTAGTGTTCAATCAAATGTTACTTGGACTATATATTCATTTTACCTCAATTACTCGTACTGGATCCTTGGCATTATGACATAAATAAGACATTCGACATTTCAACCCTTTAACTTTTATAAGAATCATAAGAGATTTTCATACAGTATATTTACTAAGCGTCACACTTGACACATAGTTGTGTTAGGCATGGATTATTGCAGGCAATATAGGTTCAAACTATACTTAGGAAACAAAAGATTATTACCATATTGCAATGAATGTAATGAGGAGTGTTGTTAAATGAGTGTGTAACACAAAGATGCCTTGGATGTGGATAGTCCCTACACGCGACCTACACGTACATACATAATCACAAATCCAATTATTCATAAATCATCTTCAAAATACGGAGTAACAATCTACTCTATATTCCAATGGAGTAATAGCAAATGTACTAATATTAACAATATTGAGTTTCAAAGACACGTTAAATAATGCATTGGTTCTATAATTGACAAGTAATGTATAACATATAAGTATCTAAAGTTTATAACAGTATGTTATGGAAGGAATGAAGGGTTGATGTTACAGCAGTCTACACATATATGAATTGAAGAAGTACCTCGCCTTGTTCGCCTACAATGATGAGATCATCATCATCAACAAGCAGCGTTGAAGGCGACGAAAACTCTGATTCATAAGGATCAAAATCAAGGATAAAGCAATCTTCAACCTCCTCAACCTCTTTTAAGAGTTTATTGTCCTTCAATGAAACTATTGATGTATTTGTAGTCCGCTCTAGTATTGAAGGCTTTACATCATCAGCATCAGTCTCCATTCCACTATAGCACATTTTATGAGCAAACCTCTACACAATCATAAAATAAAATAAAAATTACTTATATGAAAAAATTATTACAAATAATGAGGAGTAATATCTCTTACCAACAAAGATTGTCTAGAGGTAATTATAATTCTTGCCTTGAAAAAGTTACCCCCGTTTCATAATGTTAGTCTCATTTACGTATATTGATGCAAATATTTTAGACTTGCAAATATTATATAAATTAGATATTAATAAAGTACTAATCGAGACAAATAAAACTAGATTTCACATGACTATATTTGTTATTATACTACGTATATAGAGAGAAATTTAGAAAACTCCCTCTCTAACTTTTAAGAGTTAAAAGATTCCAAATGAGACTGACATTATAAAATGGAGGAAGTATAATATACACTCAAAGGCAAGATACATCCAATGGTATTTGGTGTATATAAATTTTTTTAAAATTCAGGATAAAATTCACTTATCATACATTCATATCTATATATCATCATCATAATTGTTTTTTTTTTTTTGGTAACTAAAGTACTTGAAAATTAATCATGCATTTTCAATCAAACGAAAAGGAGAAAACCTTGTTGATTTTGAAGTCATTGGAATGAGGAACAAGTATTGCCATGCAATTAGCACAGCTCACCTGAAATTCACTTGGCGCCACCTCACGGGGCCCGATACACGATAACGGGCCCTGAGGAGGAAGTAGTCGGTGCTGCAACAGACACGCCGGGCAACGGAAAACCATGAGATGGGGTATTACGGCCAAGATCCGATGGCAGCCGTAGCAGCGGATGGAGGATGGTTGAAGTTGTGTTGGAGTGACAGACGGTTGAGATGATATTTGAGCCATTTTGTTGAAGAGAGAAATAACCAACTGATGAACAAAACCGTAACTAGGGAAGAAGATACGAAGTACTCCGTATTAGTTGATAGAAGGCGGGAGAAAAGTAGTTTAAGCGCCAAACTATTTAACAATTAAGAAATTGTTTTATTTATGCCGAGCGGGCCCCATTGATCTATTTGATTAACATATTATATGTAAACCATATAACAGAGGTTAACTGTAAGAGTTGACGGGGTGACGAAAAGCTTGCTCCATGGAAGCTTCCTCCTTCCTTCCTTGATCTCCAGCCATCTCCCACGGACACCACCATTGAGCTCACCTTACTATGTGAATGGTAATGGCGTGGGTAAGAGAGACGACACTTTGACGCCGTTGGGTAACAGTCGTTAATTCAATTACAGTGTAGCAATATGTCTGTCTTAAGTTGTCCCAATCCGCATTTTACCAGTTTGCCCCCACTTACTTCAGGTGTTTCTCTATTTTACCCCTTGATATGGTTTATAAACATATCAAATACTAGTAGATAAACTTGTATTTTCTCATTTTTGTGTACCTTGATTTTTGATACATTTAAACAAAAAACAAATTTTATTGGATATAAAGTTATAAGCCTGTTTTCTTTTTTACCCACAATGATAAGTATGATAGGATTCAGATTTCAGAAGATAAAAGGCCTATAATTTGATACTTACGATATAATTTTATACATTAGTTACTCACTCAGTTTGGTATGTATGACTATAATTGATTTATCCCCTAACAACTAGGTACGGAGTATCTTCTTAGAGCATAAATATCAATGAGGATATCTATCCTCTTGTATGGGATTTTAGCTGATTTGGACCCATTCTCTTTGATGTTGGGAAATGCTGAGGATCCTCAACAATCCTCACCTGGTGAAGGATTCACCACCTTGTCTTTTGCGCCAAGAGGATGTAGCAAAACAACAAAAACTCACCGTTTGCAGCAATTTAGAAGAAAAAACAACAACGTTTTGTTAAATAAAAAGAACAAGCACCTGAATCGTCACAAACATCAAAATGCCAAAGATTATTGCAATGGCTACATTTTTGAAATGACCCGCCATTGGTTGACAAGTGCCATAAGGTATTTGAGAGAGGATGGTATAGTCCATGTAAAGAGAACAAATTTTGTATAATTCGTTGTTCATTTGTCTTTTGTAGCTCCTAAAGAAAATTAACGTTCCGAAATAAACTACACTATAATTAACATACTCTGTAAAATACACCCAAACCAAATCCAATCTAAACAACTTGTTTGTCCCTTCTAAATCTGCAAGTGACACACCACACACATTTCACCTCCATGTACACACATTTGTTAGATACTTAAATTTCCAGCCAAAACTTTGAAGCAAACTCGTATGCCCTCAATGAACGTGTTCAAGCACAAATAACAGATACTTAGACCCCCTAAATTGCTAGAAACAGGGAAGAAACCTTTTTGTAAAAACTTCCACCATTAAGCCCTGTAATTTCCAGGCTTCAAATAATGGCTATGCCTGTAATGGTCTTTCTACTGAACTCACAATGATTCAAGTTCACATGTGAAACAAAGCTTTTTCTCAATCTTATTCAACGATAATGGTAAATAAAGAAAACAGGGTTTTTTCATGGCATAAATTAAAGGATTGAGTACGGACCAGTTCAATCAAAACTACAGCAATAGATAAAGGTGATAGCCCTATAAAATCGTTCCCATCCCAGTTAAATGCAGCGTGTTTGAATATGATGCATTTTCAACAAGAAAGGGGGATAATGACCAATATTGTACAGAAATGAATGGTGAAAATCTGCACAGGTTTGCGCAACTTCAACTTAGCAGTATCCACAATTCCACCACTTAAAAAATCTTCAGAATTTCATACTTTCTCAGTTGATTGTCACACACCAACTAACCAACAAGCAGAAGGGAAACAATTTGTTCATAGATGCAAGGCAAATTCACCCTCTCATAAAAGCTATGATTTTCTAAACAAACTCAATAAATCATATGAGTTTCATCAAAAGAACATCTTACAGTCATTATTCCTAAAATAAAAACATTGTACCTCTCTATTTCTGATTCTCAAGCTTCCTCCAGATCACTTAGCTCCGGAGTAGCATTATAAGAATTTGCGTGTCCTGCAGTCCAGCCACTCCTTGTTAAATGTATCAGTACTTCTGCACCTGTAGCCAAACAAGTCTCACAAGTTCTGTGAACTTAGGCGAACCATCTGTATTAGCAACCTGCACAAAGACTATGAAATAACTCATCATGCCTCATAATCATCATAGAGGTTAAAGGCATCAAACCATGCAAATTCAGTCAAAAACTGTTGCTATAAGATTCATAAGATCAAATACCTGTTATTTTTTTTCTAGCATAGAGTGCATTCCACTGCATTGTTCTTTACATTTACTGCAATCAAGTAACCTGAGGGCTGAGGTTCTTTACATTTACAGCCAGACAGGAATTTCTTCACATTAATCGGAATGATAAGTAGACTTTATCTTTCAGAGATCAGAGTTGAGGCAAAAGTTGAGCAACAGATTTAAAGCATTTAAAATTTTAAATCATAACCCAAACTGAACAGCTGAGTCCATAAACATCATATCAATCCAATTTACGAAACCTCTCAAACTTCACGTAAACTCTCAAACCCCCCAAAAAAAGTACAAATCTATTTATTGACTTGTTACTTCCTGAAACTTGACAAATTTAATCTGATCATAAAACAAGCCCATATTATAATACTACTACCTTCCTGCAAGATTAATCTTCACCATTTTACCTACCCCAGACCCCTTGAAGCATTTTTCTCCAGAGTTCTATGTAACCTCCAAAGAGCAGATTCATCAGTAGCATCACAATGTCTCACACCAGGACATTTACTACTTTCATCCCATCTCTTGCAAGGCGCGGGTATATCACAAATGTAGCAATAGCACTGCAATTGAACCAAACAAGTCATCAATAACTACCCATTATTCCATTAACACTTCAACATGATCTCAAAACTGAACAAACATCTAACATTCATAAGCATGGCAATAAAACAATTACCATTTTGCAATGAAGATCATGAGGACCCTCCTTAAAAGGATGGGTGGCACAAAGGTGTCTTGGATGTGGGTAATCCTTACAAGCAACCTGCACATAAATAATAAATCAACCATCACGTCACTATCATCAAGACACTAACATCAATTTCAACATAATCATTACTAAATGGAAATCTTTCAATCCGAAAAAATAATTCCAATTCAGTAAATCAAGTGAAGCGAACAAGGCCGTAGATAACAACACATTAATATATTTGTCATCTTGTCATTAATATGATCGTATTAGCAACCAAAACATGCCCATTATTAACATTACAACCATATAATAATAGAAAAAAAAAAAAAAACATTGAAACATAGTATATACCTTCCCCTTTTCAGCCAAAATCAAAACATCATCTACATCAGATTTCTGAGAAATAGACAAATTAGAAAATTTATCTAATTCAGAAGGATCACATTCCAATATAAAACAATCCTCAACTTCTTCAACCTTCTTCAAATCTTCTCCCTTCTTTACACAAACCATACTTTTAACCTCATCAACATCATTACCAATAGTAGGATCAAATTCCAGAATAAAACAATCTTCAACCTCCTCAACCTTCTTCACATCTTCTTTCTTCACACTAACCACTGAACTCAAACTCGGCCACACTCCAACATTGTTGACCCCACCACCACCATTACTGAAAACCCTATTGTGGGGCCTACTATTTTTTCTGTGGGTCTGATTAGGGAGCCAGCCATTATATTTCTGATCACAATTCATAGAATAATGACCAAATATTCCGCAACGAAAACACATAACCTTAGAAATCTTAGTTTCTGGGCAATTACTGGAATTATGACCAAATTTTTTGCAGAATTTACATTTACCCTCAATTGGGACGACATTAATGGCTTCTAGAGAATGTGGGGGGTTTAAACCGTTGAAAATGGTGTTGTATTTGACGCGATCTTCTTCTTTGATGGTGTTTGAGGAGAGAGAAAGTGGGCTGATGTATACTTCCGGGAGGAAGGGGTTGTCAGGAAGTATGTAACCAATGCCCTGTGAATCGAGCCACTTTATCTTTCCGGTTAGCTTTGGGGTTTCTGAGTTTTTGGTTTCATGGTTATTGGCCGCCATTGTTGAAGGTGTTGGAAGGTTTTAACACGAGAATTTTTAGGAGTGCTGAAGAAGCAAACTTGACACTAAAAGACGATTTAACAGAATAATTTGGGCTTTTGGTTTTTTATTTTTATTTTTTAAATAAGTAAAAATCCTTTTTTTTTTTTTTTTTTGAAAAGAAGTAAAAATCCATCTAATTAAGTACGGAGTTGATGATATTTTTGTACAAAAATTAGGATAAGTAGAAGCCAGAAGGTAGAATAAAGCATTACACAATGCACGTAGTAGAATCATAAAAGGGCAATAATGTCATGTGTTAACGAGATTCAGATCGATCTATTGACTAGACACGTAGTGAAAAGGGATGGGAGGGGGGAGTAAGGAAAATTCATACCCTCAAAGAGTCAAAGTGTCCTTGCTAGGGATTAAACCCCAACCTCAAAGTTACAAACCTCACTCCTTATCAGTTCTCACTAGACCAAGCTAAATGAATTGCCTAATGGAGACATAGAGTTGAGCAAGCTATGATAAGATTACCTACCTTCAAGATCCTAACTAGATGATTTTACAAGAGGACATAATAGGAGTAACCTTGCCGCGTATTGTTACTTGGCTTTGCTTAATTTACTCAAATTGCTAAAATAGGAACCAACAACAATAATAACGAAATAAAATCAAAATTTAATGTAACAATTGACCAAATTTACAGTACAGATATGATCTCAATAATAAATTGACAATTGGATATCATGTTGATCAACCCATGACTAAACAAGTCAATGCCACGATACAAGGGGCACAGACACCTTGCTAAGACAAATTATCTTAAAACAGAATGCAACATTGGCATCTATAGAGTACTAATTACAGTGCACATATTGATATAAAAAAAATTGTATCAACCCTTCTTCGATTCTTCCCCGGGATAAACTGATCATGAATAGGGCTTTACAAAAATTTGGGCATAGCAGCAAAAAGTGGCTTATCTGCAAGAATGAGCAGCCTCAAATCAGTAACATCCAAATTGCAGCAATTTGCAACAGAAAGGGTGAAACTTTCTGCATTACAGTTGGTTGTTAAACAGCATCATATATTCTTATTTTACCTTTCTGCTTCTATCCTTGAGTTTCCTCCTAGTTTCTCTATCAATACATAGGTTCATATTCATCAATTTTTACACCCGACAACTGCTTCCGTATGTATGTCATGGACGTAGCAAACAGAAGTGCAGTTGAAACACAGCTTGTCAAGCTATGCCTCCACTCAATTCTAATTCCAAAGATGAAGCAATAGATCCGTTGATAAGCCCTACTGAAACTGATGCATACAACTATCCACCAGTAATAAACTTCATGTTATTGCTTTAAGTTGATTTTTTGGGTTCAAAGGAGTTTAATGACAAATTTACCTGGCAGATCTTGATGATATAAGTACAAGGTACTTTCAGTAATGAAAAGCTCCAATACTTCGACAGGATAGTCAACACCAGGATGAAAGATCAACAATTTATGCCGTTTTCACATCTACCTTCACAAAATCTATTGAGGTATCTACTCATAATGGCTCACAACAGCAACTCACAAAGGCCCCATCCTTCAGGCTCTTCTAAATGTCACATTGCCACCATAAAGTCCAAAACCACATCCAAAGATATCCCACCCCTGACAAATTTCCATTATATAACTCGAAATTGGCATGTTAACTATATCAAGATTATCAACCACCAGTTTTCCAAACCCCAGTTACCCCTTTGGTAGAAACAATGTCTAAAGAATGCCCTGTTCTTCACATTTACTGCTGCCAAAGACCCAATGATATTGTAGCCACCGATTCTTCTGAAGTTTGACAGGGTTTAATCCCCTCTCACAAGCCCTTGATATAATATATACCCCTTGTACTCATGACCTTTCTATGTAGCCCTTGCTATAATATATACACCCCTTGTTCAGCACTTCAGCCTTCCCTATGTGTGCTCCAGACTTGAAATTCATGAGTCGAACAATGGTTTAATCCAGGATTCTAGATCCTTCAGTCATTTCCACGAGGCGAGGCTATATCACACGTATCACAGTAGCAATGCAAATGAATCAACCAACAAAAATTATTGTTTTTATATATACATTTAAGCTGAAAAACAAAACAGGTATTCCTGTGCACTGGACTGGAATGTGAAAGAAAAGCTTTGACAATTACTTTAAGTCCTTTATACGAGACAGAGTACTCTTAATTTTAAATGTGCTTCTCGACATTAAGCAGGCTAAGTATATTACAACTCCTTTTAACAAACTATATGCATTGGAGAACTCATATCAGCAAATTATGCAAAAGCAAGCTGATTAATATAGTGATTGCACATCATTTTTTATGTTACAAAACTTCCGACATTTCATTCTCAAAAGACAAACAAGTCCTAAATATTCCTATCATGTTCTGATATTGTGGTAGTCAGCATCTGAGTTTGATTGTACAAAAAGGTGCATAAGTAAAGTTATTCACTAGCAGGTTCGCCTCTATTTGACGTTTTACCTTTCATGGTCTGCTTCTTCCTATGCTCCTTAACTCTATCCCATGATGGAGAGTCAATAATTTTAGCTCTACAGTGCCTCAAGAAAGGTTTGGTGCTTGTACCTATCCACTCATCGCAAGGTGCAGGTTCTTCACATATATAGCAATAGCACTGCAATTAACGAGATAACACATAATGATTATACACTCCTTTAACTCTAAATCCGGATTTGAATTAAACCACCAATAACTAACAAATAAGGCACATGAAGCCCAAAAACAGAAGAGTACCATTTTGCAATGAATCTCGTGAGGAGTTGTCTTAATAGGGTATGTGGCACACAGGTGCCTTGGATGTGGGTAATCCTTACACGCCACCTGCCCATCAAATTACATTCACCATCATTATCAACATCAATATCATCATGGTAATCTTTAATCAAACATACTCATGATCCAAGAAACAAAGAAAGCAATCCTTTCATCATCCTATATTCCTATGTTAGTATGTTACTCCAGCTCTTCAATCCACCGTAAACTTTTCATACACCCAACATGTTTACAAACTAAAATCAAGGAAGCTAATTCACAATATGACCGAGTCATATCCTTACACTAGTACTCCAAATCAAGTATCCAAGTCCGAGTAACATAGTTATTCTCAATTCAACATCATAATATGAATATTTAAAGAACAAACATGCTCATTTTACAAGATTATGCATACATTATAAAACAAAGCATTTACATTTAGCTACAAAAAACACATTATAATAACCAATAATCACAATGATCATATTAGAAAACACAATTATACCTGCCCTTTTGCCGCCAAAATAGACACATCTTCAGAGTTGTCATCGGATAAAGACAAGTTAGAAAAGTTAAGAGGCTCATTAGGATCAAACTCCAAAATAAAACAATCCTCAACTTCCTCAACCTTATTCACATCTTCTGCATTCTTCACACATACAATTGACCTTATAACCTCACAATCCTCCTCCTTCTCCTTCTCCTTCCTTTCGGTATCGGCCCCGCCTCGGCCATCGTTGTTTTCATTAGGATCAAACTCCAAAATAAAGCAATTCTCAACCTCTTCAACCTTCTTCACATCCTCTCTCTTCTTCACACAAACCACTGAACTCGAAGTGGACAAACTTGTACACAATAGTCCGCCATTGGAAGACCCAGGAGAAGAACTCTTCTTATCACAATTCCTAGCAAAATGCCCAATTAACCCACATCGATAACATCTAACCCTAGAAATTGGAAACCCTTTACGACATTCTTTGGTTGTATGATCGAATTTTCTGCATTTGAAACAGTGGGTTTTAATTGGGACGATGTCAATTGCTTCAAATTGAGGGTATGATTCACTGATTTGATACTGAATTTTACTTGGTCACCTTCTTGGATGGTGTTAGAGGAGAGAGAAGATGGAGAAGCAATGACCTCCATGTCTGGAACTATGTACCCTTTGCCTTGTTTGTCGATACGCTTCATTGTTCCTGTGTATGTCTTCGTCTTCTTATCGTTGTCGTCCGCCATTGATGAACAGAGAGAAGGGAAATTTTATTTTTATTTTTTATTTTTGTTTTAATGGTAGAAGCCTCAAGAAGGGTCAAGTGAGTGAGTGACTACTAGAAGAGGAGAGTGATGATTTATGCTTTTATAAAAAAGAAAAAGAGTAATGGTTATGTTGAAGTGGCGAGAAGTTTGAGAAATTGAATAATTGACCTCAAAGTGACTTCCATACTGCCTCATGTGTCGTCCACATTAGCTCGGGTCTTGTCTTGTCTATATCATTATTCTTTTGATCGCGGTAATTCATTTTTAGATGTCTGATTAGACTTTTTTAACAAATTTTCATTTAAATCACTGATTAATCTTTCAATATAGCCAAGTTTTGATATGTCAAGTACAAAACCTTCGATTACATACCATACATCTGAGACAATGCAAGAAAATTTTGCCATAAAACAACAGGAAATTAGTCTCTTTGTATCTACCAATTGCAATGATTGAGAAAAGATCGATTTATGTCTACTTTAGTTTTTCTTTCATTCATCCATACAAGCTTAGCTATCGGTTAAAATTTTACCGAGTAAAAGTCAATAGGATTAGACTTTTTATTAATATCACTTATGTACTGTTATTTATTTCCACGATCTAAAATAGTTTAGTTTTCATTATTTATTTATAGTTTTGGAAAAGGCACAAGCTTTAAGCTGATAAAACAATTCACTGTGTGGAGGAGGAGAAAAAAAATAAAGAAAAGAAAATGTAGAAAATTGAAACAAAATCTCATACTTTGTGACAAATAATCATTTACCATTACCATAACTTTATATCTACACTTCTTAGCAAAACATTACAACTAAAAGTTGCATATCCTTTTAAGTTATAACAAAATGCAACTCTAAGTGCTACTAGTCTACTACCATAAGCCAACTCTAAGCATGAATTTGACTTGAAGTCTTTCAACTATACAAAAAGTAGCCAAAAATTTAACTAGCAGCATTCTCCATTAATTAGGGGTTTTAAGCCTCGGTTTTTTGAGCCTTTAGCAACTTCCAGATTTCATCATCATCATTAGTTGCATCACAATGCTTCAACCCTTTTGTCCATTCTTTGCAAGGAGCCGCCATTTCACATACATAGCAATAACACTGCCAAAATATTCAAATTAATCAAACAAATCAAAATTTAAAACCCCAAAATTATCAAATTTTTATGGAAAAAAAAATAAAAAAATTATACCATTTTGCAATGTGATTCATGGGGTGTTTTCTCAAATGGGAATTTAACACAGAGATGTCTTGGATGTGGGAAATCTCTACAAGCCACCTGAAATTGAATTGATTTACATTAATTTAAATCAAACCCGTTTCATAATTTCTTGTTATTTTTACAAAATGAGTAAGAATTTGAAGAAAAATAAAGTGGAATTTGGAAAATACCTGGCCATTTTCAGCAAGAACAGAGACATCTTTATCGTCGCAAAGATCTAAACTTTTAGAGAGAGAAAGTGTAGAAAAATCTGCAGGTTCAGAAGGATCAAAATCCAATATGAAGCAATCTTCAAGTTCTTCAATCTTTTTCATATCAATTGTTTTGTTTTTCAGGCAAAAAACTGCTCTAATTGGGGAATCATCTTCTAAAGATGGCGATAATTCGATTGAATTGTTCAATTTTTTTACACCCATTTTGGATTGTTTGAGTTTTTTTTTTTTTTTTTTGAGTATTGAGAATTTGAGATTTGAGGAAGCGGAGTGATGTAATTGATGTGTTGCTGAAGATCGTTCTTGAATTCGTGGTATTGGGAACATGAAATATGACCGTTGGAGTGAGTTTGTGTGTGTTCCGTACAAAATTTGATTCATGGGCTTTAGCCTTGGAACAGTAATGATGGTAAATGGGTCATTTTAGTATAGGCCCTTTTAACAGAAAGTGAAATCTTTCAATTTTTTTGGGTTTTCATTAGAATTGTGTGATTGCTCCTTAAATTTCATAAAGTTCGTCTCAATTACGTTTTTGGTTTGTTCTTTTGACCCGTATTATAAATGGTCAGTCAAATGAAACCACTACGTAAGTACTATATTTGGTTTCACTGTTTTTCTTTTTTATCAATTACTCATGAAGCATGGTTTCAAAAGTGATTTCACAGAGCAGACCAAAGTGATGACATTTAGGCTCGTATATGCTACAATGAACTCAATATGGTTGGTACATTGATATCTTATCATGCACAAAGCTTGATCGTTCAATGTTAGGTCAATTAGGTACAAAGTCATTTCAAATTGTACTTTGAATTATTGAATCAACAGTAAAAATGCCAAGACAAAATTCAAGGCAAGGGTAAAATAAGGAAGAATCCCACCAACTAAGAAAAACTAAACCATACTATGATTACTAACTCTTGCCTATCTATCGTATATAGAGAAATTAGTGAAACTTTTCGTAATCAAAAAGTGACAAGCCATGTTAATTGAAAAATATATAGTCAAAATAAGAACTAATAAATTTAAGAAAATAGTAAACATAGCCCTAAAAAGCTAAAACAATAAGCTAAAAAACTATTAAGATTAATTAAATATTGATAACATTAATATGTAACTCCATGAGCTGCATATATCATTCCCCACACATCATAAGAACAGCATACATCAAGCTCAATCATTTCCTTAAGAACCATAGGCGTGTTTTGTCATAAATGTCCAATATTTGTACCGTTAAAGAAAATGCATTTAATGCTTATTTCTTCCGTGTTTTAATAAGTGTTACACAACTTTTTCACTATTTACATTAATTGTTTTGACTTGATTAATTTACTACGGAGTAATATTTAAAAAATAAATATTATTGTATAACACATTGTTGGATTCGTTATAATGTATACTTTTAATAATATCAATTTTTCTATAATTTTACAAACATATAATTAGATAAATTAATGGTCAACATCGTGTTTCGACATGCATGTTTGGTCAAAATATAACACTTATTAAAACACAGAGGGGGTATATGTGATCTTAAGAGTTGTATATATCATTACCCATATAGTTAACAGTGTCAAAAATCAATATAATAACAATTTAAAGTACTTATAAACGGACAAAAGGGAGTGTAAACGACGTGATGCCTAAAAAAATTTAGCTTGGCATAGGAGAACTCTACAATTTCATTTACCAAACATTGGTAGAGAAAAAGTCTTTGAAACAAAGTTCATCACATAGTTTCACACTTCAAGTAATCAAACTATAGAAAAAATATAATATCAACAGTAATGATTGAGACGAAAATCAATACGAGTACAAAGTAGTAGTATGATTTTGTTTTCCTTTCTACATATTCCTTTAGTTCCACAGGAGTTGGTGAAGGGTTGGTGAGGGAGTTGCCGAGTCACAAAAAACTACTACGTCTCACGAAGCTAACTTCAAATATATGCCCGACTTATTTTTCAGTGACAAAAAGATCAAGGGTAACATCTGCTCCAACTTGGATTCTTCAGTTACAACCAAAAAGATCAATAGTCCTATGATTAATTCAGATTCTTGTTTTCAATAGTTTTATATATGTGCTTCATAAATGGTACTCTATAGTCTATAGTCTGCTATATCAAATAATTGATCGTATGAGTCGTATCCTATTTTGCATATAAGTGATTAGTTAAACCATATAAGCTGCAAAGAAATCTATTCATCATCATAAAGAAACACATATCATAGGGTTTCAATTATGTGCTCAAATTAATTTAAAACAAAAATTAAAGGTAGACAAAAAAATTTACAAAAACATAACCATCATATTTACAAAATATGATCATTCTCTGTGTAATATGACCATCGGCAACACATTTCAATATTGCTTACTTAAATAATGAGCTTTATTTTTATTTTATTTTTTTTTAAAAAAAAAAAAAAAAGCATTAGGCGAGTTATTGAAATTAACTTTCGCAAAGCATACTCCCTTTTTTTTTTTGGGAAAAAACATTTTAATAATTATATGTTTCATCTAAAAAATTAACTTTGAAATTTTTTGCAAAAGAAACAAACATTTAACAAAAATAATCATTCCATAATAGGTTATTTAGTTCATATATTGATGTTGGGTAAGTGGTAAGGAAGTTGAATCCTTTCGCAAATTATGACATAAATTGATTAGTTCCTACTGTTTGGGTCCAATCCAGTCATTATTAATTGGGCTCGTCCAAATGATTTAATTACAAAAGCCCAAAGCAAGGTTCAACTCTCTATAAGCATGCTAAGTCAGTCAAGCCCAGTCAGCATGGCAAGCCCATCTGACTTGTGGCCCAGTTCACCAATTAAGCAAGGTATAAAAGCCTTCAATTGTCTTCTCTTACATTCATTCACAATCAACCTCAAGCAATTAATTCTCTTGCATAGCATTTACTCTCAATACAATGAACTGACTTTAGCATCGGGGGGGCCTTCCTCGGCAACTACCCCCAAGACTACTTTACGTGTGATTTGTTGTGCAGAAAACCCTTGGCTCATTCGTCAATTGGAGCGAGATCCTAAAAAAGGGCCTACCGAAGGTCCTTGTTTTCATACCGAAACACCTACTTTCTAGAGGTAATTGAAGTGGGAAGGAATCATCATTTTCACCATCATAATCATAATTATCTATCTCAAATAAGCTAGACAATATTATACAAATTCATATGTTTGGCAAGAAGGATAAACTACTCAAAATTGGCCCCACGCTACAAAAAGTAACCAATTGTGCTTTGAGCATAACCAACTTTGTAGTAGTGGTTGTTGGTGGGTGAGACTTGATCACCCAATATATACAATACACCCTTCTTCCCACTTTTCACCTCACTACCCTCTCATCTCCCCTGTTTTCCTCTGTTTTTTTTTTTTCTGTTTTTTTCCTCTGTTTTTGTTAAAATTTTATATATCCTCAGTTCCTCACAAATCAAGACCAAGTATGGGATCAACCTCAACACAAAACACCCAAATGGGGGAAGACGAGGCGTGCTCATTCGCCATGACGGTCACAAGCGGGTCTGTCCCGCCCATGGTTCTTAAGGCAGTGATTGAGCTTGATGTACTTGAGATCATCAAACGGGCTGGGCCGGGTGCCCATCTTTCACCGGCCGAGATTACGGCCCAATTACCTTCCAAGAACCCAGATGCTGCCAACATGTTGGATAGGATGCTCAGGCTTCTTGCTAGCTATTCAATCCTATCTTACACCCTTCAAACCCGGCCCGATGGGCGGGTTGAAAGGCTATATGGGCTTGCCCCGGTTTGCCAATTCTTGACCAAGAATGAAGATGGTGTCACTTTGGGTGCTCTGTCTCTTATGAACCAAGATAAGGTTCTCATGGAAAGCTGGTAATTTCCTTTTACTCTAACCAATCATATTTTAATAATAATAAAATAAAAAATTCAACCTTAATATTTCCAAATTGAGGATATTTAGTTTTGTGTCTATATAAGTTCAAGTGACAGAAAGTTAAAGTGAAACTTTTTTTTTGTCACAAACGAAGTATATAAAGATTATTGATATTCTATTTACATGTAATAACTTTCACGATGACTTTGTTAGAGCTTTGATCAAGACTCAAGAGATCAACATTTTCTAAAATAGATTTAGATTATGATTATAAATTCAAACACACCTAATTGACAAAAAAGAAAAAGATGAGAAGACTGCAATTATTTTAATGCATAATTTTATTAATTGAAATTATGGTGAAACTTCGAAAATAAGAGATTGAGACAATGTGACAACTCAATAACTCATTTCACCTAACTTGATTTTTAGCTCAATATGCAACCGATTAAATAAAGCAAATAGTTTGAAATTAGTTAATATGGCTTCAAAATTATAGATAGCTATTCTAATTTCATTAACCTCATGTTTTTTGTGACATTAAAGAATTAATTATACTTATATAATACCTCTGTTAATTTGTATTTGCAATAAAGAGATATTGTTTATAAGATATAAAATATATATGTTTGTTGCAACTAAAAATAATAAAGGTAATATTTAGTTCTTAGTATAGTACAAGGTTTGGTTACTTTCACCTTATAAAAAGGGATTTATGATGCTTTCTACATAATAGTGATAAATTGATTATTGATATTACATAGCAAACTCTCAACTAAAAGGAATATAGAGGACACATTAATATTTCTAATTATTGAACACCTTTAAATTCTAAAAATTTATTTTATATATTCCTCTTTTACCATTCACCATATAATTCTATTCTTTTTTTTTTAATCAATAATTTATAAATTTAATCATTTTTCATGTGATAAATTTTTTCTAGGGTGGTTGGTATGAATTCGGAAAAGGTTGAATTAGGAATTATAATACAAAGTTTGACTTTGACAAAATGGGTCATGCTAGGTGAAAAATATGAAGCGAACTTTGAAGTGCAAAAGATTAGGAAGATGATAATTGAAATATGAGTCCTAAGTCAAAAGTATTACGCGAGATCTTTGTGGATTAAAAATGGGACCAGTATTAGGTGGATGGGCAATCGACCATGGTTGCCACTCAGATAGTTGCTTGTTCACACCCGACTTAAGTATCTCTTTTGCTCGGTTTAATTCAAATAATATTGTGTGAAACAGTGAAATTATAGTATCTGAACTTATTTCGTTATAGAAAAACTTATATAATAAGTGTATTACGACTTATCTAGTACGTAGTATAAATTTGCCATCTTAATTTATGATTCAACAAAATTTATTGTCTATATGAAATAAAACTAAACATTAAAAAAAAAAAATAATAATAATAATTAAAAATTAAAATAAAATAAAAATACTTGGCTCATTAACTAAGCCCATCAATTAGTTAAGTGGGATATCTGAGAAACCTGGACACATCTCACAAAGCCCAATAGTATGGACCAAAAATAATGTGTATAATTTATATGTGCAACATCCAAATTTATTGAATTTCTTTAGAGCATAATTCTCATTCTCATTCCTTTTATTTTTAGGTACCACCTAAAGGATGCAGTTCTTGATGGTGGCATTCCATTTAACAAAGCTTATGGAATGACTGCATTTGACTACCATGGAACAGATCCTAGATTCAACAAAGTCTTCAACAATGGAATGTCGAACCACTCTACCATTACTATGAAACGAATCCTCGATACTTACAAAGGATTCGAGGGTCTCTCAACCTTGGTGGATGTTGGAGGTGGCACTGGTGCTACTCTTAACATGATCCTCTCTAAACACCCTACTATTAAGGGTATCAACTTCGATTTGCCTCATGTTATCGAAGATGCACCCACATATAACGGTACTAAACAACATTCTCTCTAAACACCCTACTACTAAGGGTATCAACTTTTTATATAATTGTATCTACATTCTATATGATGAATCACAATAACATTTGTACAATCTTTAGGAGTGGAGCACGTTGGAGGAGATATGTTCGCAAGTGTACCAAAAGGAGATGCTATGTTCATGAAGGTAGATTTCTACTTAATTTAAACTAATTTGTGTATGTACAAGTACTAGTGTACTACTTAGTAAGACAGCCTATACTTGTATAGCTTTTCAATAGTAAGATCATTAGTTTTAATAGCTTGTGAAATCCAATTCTTTGATTTGCAGTGGATTTGTCACGATTGGAGCGATGAGCATTGCCTAAAGTTCTTGAAGAATTGCTATGCTTCCTTGCCAGACCATGGCAAAGTGATTGTATGTGAGTACATCCTCCCAGTGGCACCAGAAACCAGCCTCGCAGCAAGGACAGTCTTCCATGTTGACGCGATCATGTTGGCACACAACCCGGGTGGGAAAGAAAGGACCGAACAAGAGTTTGAATCCTTGGCTAAAGGAGCTGGATTTGAAGGATTTAAAGTGGCTTGCTCTGCTTATGACACTAAGGTCATGGAATTTTTGAAGAAAGCAGCTTAACCAATCAAGCATTGGATTTTAATTCAGCTTACATGCATACTAAGAATTTTATGGGTCTGATTTTGTGTATGGGGTTATGATTTTATAAAATGTTGTATACTTGTGAGTTATAATCATATGATCACCTCTTCAAAGGTGCTTCCCTTTTCCCTATATTAATTAATAATATGGTGATCAATCTTTTTACAGAGTACCTACAACGGAATTTCAACTAAAAAGGTTAAACTTGACGAAGTATATAATTTTCATCCTTATTTAATCAAAATAGTAAATATATGAATTATGTATTGTTAATTAGGATATACACGACTACATGTGAGTAGTTAAAGCTTCCCTCCTGGTTCCAGGTAATCTTAGGATCGATTCTCATTACTAGCCCTTATGACTCTCTAAACACCAAAAAAACAAAATTAGGATATACACGCCTTCCATTTCTAAAAGATTGTCCATTACAGTTTTTTTTAGATCAAAGTGTATCAATTAAGAGAACGTAATGGATCGTTATCTATACCTAGCATTTAAAAACACAAACCATCATGCCATGTGTCACCTTCTTTCATTGAATAATGTCACATATCACCTCATTTAACCTATCTTTTTTTATTATTTTATAATATGTAACAAATAGTACAATAAAGGACAAATCATCGTTTGTTAAAAAAAAAAGGACTAATCATCTTGTCCAAGTTAACTATAATTTGGTTGGGTAAATTCACACAATATATGGATAGCTAAGGTGGTAAGACTTGTATCGTAATACTTGTTGGTCTCGAGTTCAAATCTTGCTATAAGTACTTTTTAAGACTAAAAACTATTAAAAAAAATAAAAATTATATTATGTACGTATGAACAGTCCGTGCATTGCACCGGTCAGAACGAAGACTAGCTCTCATTAATGACTCCAACCTCAAAAGTCAGTCAATTAGCTTAGTATACTGTACACCTTGTAGGAATAATATGTTCTCTTTTAAAAATCCTTATTCTAGAACTCGGACCAAATAATATCACGCAATTATATTACTTGAAGATAAGCTAAGCTAGCTCACAAAGTCACAAGTCAATTAAATTTGGCTTTATTTAATTTAAGTTCACTGGAAAATTTTGCTTTAATTTGAAGAATGAAGAAATAGTCAAATTAGGAAGCGCCGCACTAAATCAATATATATGGCGACATAATCTGTTAGAATTTTGCATCATACATTTTAGGTATATACGAAGTATTTTATACCGTACTCTATCTTATTTTACATTATAATTTGTATTTTGCATCATACATCCTTCCTACAACATACAAAAGTTCACAAAAATGAACTCTTACTGGGATCTTGGTGAAAAAGAAGAGGAAGAAGCATCATTTGTTGCTCTTTCTCTACTTAGTGATAATGTCAAGTTCGAAGTATTGAAAGCCGTGAATGACCTCGACGTGCTCGAGACCATCAAGAAATGTGGTCCTCGAGCACACCTTTCAGCGGCTGAGATTGTGGCTAAGTTGCCCACCAAGAACCCTGAGGTTGCAGCGGTTAACCTAGGTCGCTTGCTCGACTACTTAGTTAGTCACTCCATCATTACCGTCTCTCCTATTACCCTCCCGAGGGGGAGGGTAGAGAGACGGTATGGCCTTGCACCTGTTTGTAAATTTTTGACGTCGAATGAGGATGGTGTTTCTTTGAGTCCTTTTACAAATACGTTGCTATATAAAGCTTTGAAACAGAGCTGGTAAGTTGTTAATTAATCATGTGTTTTGATTACTCCTACTCTCCTAGCCATGCCTCGAAAGCTTGTCGTACTACGTAGATAGTAGAATAGTTGGCTCATTCATTTCACCTTACACTCACTCTCGAGTCTTAGCCATAGAAATTATAATTTTGAATGGTTTAAGGAATTTTTATAGAAACAAAATGTTCAATGAGAATCCTGGTCAAAAGTCATGTCACCAAGCCTTGTTAGCGAGAAGTTTGCATATCGATTAAACTTCACTAGAGGAAATTTGGGGTGGGATTGATTTACCTTCCCCCTCCCCCCCACCTCCCACTTTTAAAGGGCCTAGCACGCTAATTCAAGTTGGGTTGACCTGTAAAAGTTCCGATCTGATAAGCTAGTACGGTCCTTCTACTTGCCTACCAAAAAAAAAAAAAAAAAAATTAAATTCGTGTAATATATAATAACATTTTTATTGTATGCATTTAATAATAATTGTGTTATCTTTTCTTTGCAGCCTATCTTTAAAAGATGCAGTTCTTGAAGGTGAAGAGCCATTCACAAAGGCTCATGGAATGAGTATGTATGAGTACATTGGCAAAAATCCTGAGTATCTCGCAGGGTTCCATAAGGCAATGTCCGATCATTCTACCCTTATTATGCGCAAAATTTTAAGGACGTACAAGGGTTTCGAGGGTCTATCATCGTTGATCGATGTCGGTGGGGGTAATGGAGCTACACTCAACATGATCCTTTCTCAGTATCCAGCTATCAAAGGGATTAACTTCGATCAACCTCATGTCGTAGCAGATGCATTATCTAATCCTGGTAAATTTATACTACGTAATTACAATGATTCAAGTCGATAATTGAAATCCTAGTATCGTTATGTAATATTAACCACTACTTTGTGTTGCTCTGTACACACAGTTCGACAATAAATTAATCAAAGCCTTAATCCCATTATATATATTAATGCTTTATTTCAAACAGATGTGGAACACGTTGGAGGAGATATGTTTGTCGATATTCCCAAAGGCGATGCCATCTTTCTCAAGGTACGTTAGATGAGCAACAAATTACATACTACAGAGTACTTCCTTATTGTGACTTCTTATTTTACTGTCATCAAGACACAACTCAAAACCGCTAAGACCTCTATCTTTGCACATATAAACATTACAAAAGTTGATATGTATAAATACAATTTATGGAGCATATAAATCGATCCTAAAGTTCAACCATCAACTTAAGTTTTTAGTTGAGTTGGTCCTTTAAATTAACATGTTACACATATTATATAATCTATCAATTTAATAACCTTATCAAAAGTTGAATTGAGTTGGTTTAATTTTCAGTGGATATTGCATTGTTTTGGTGACGAGGCATGTATGAAGATCCTAAAGAATTGTTACAATGCCCTTCCAGACCATGGCAAGGTTATAGTTTGTGAATACATCCTTCCTAATCCAGACGAAACATCCAACGACATAGCTGCTAATTCCGTCGTTCAATTCGACATAATGATGATGGTTTTGCCTGGAGGGAAAGAAAGGACTGAGAATGAGTTCAAGGAGTTAGCGTTTGCTGCTGGATTTCAAGGCTTCCAAGTGGTTTGCTCTGCCTATAATGTGAAGATCATTGAGTTGCTTAAGAGAAATTAGGTCACGGTCATATTGTTACTTGGTCATTATAATTTCTTAAATTACATCGTCACATTTATTGGTTGAGGTTACTAGTTACTACGAAGTACTGTATATTGTTTGCAATTTCGTTCACTTTGATATATAATGTGTTTTGTTCAGTTTGTTTTAAGAAATACTTGTAAAATGTTTAAGTTGAATGATATAGTATGTTAAATATAGTACTTACTTTCCATTAAAAAAAAAAAAAAAAAAAAAAAAAAAAAAACTAGCAAGTATTCTCGTTTCTTGAAATTTTTTTTTTTTTTGGACAGGATAAATGTTCCTTCTTAAACAAGAAAAAGGTGTTATAAATAGCACATGTATTATTGGTTACCCAAAAACAATAAAAAAAAAATACAATTAAAAATAATAATAATGATACGAAATAATAATAACAATGACGCTGATTTGTCATCAAACATTTATTTCGAGGATCACCACATTTGAGCTACGAGGGAGCAAGGCACGAAATTTTAGATGAGGAGATCGAGAGAGAAGGCACGAAATGTCACTTTCTTATATCAGCCGTTATTTTTAAGTGGGTCGTTTTTTTTTTAAGCATTTTTGAGTATTTTTTATTATATTTCTCTCCGGCCTTCACATGGTACTCTGTTTGACCCCATCTTTTTAAAAATGAGATATTATATTTATATGGTTAGATTCGTTTCAATACATATTTTTCATTTAATAAATTTAAAAGATATTTGTGCATCGGCCATTATAAAAGTTTCGTCTATGATACGTAAGTGATGAGTATAAAAACCCGTATTGCATATAACATTCGCTTCTAACCCTGTATCGAAAAAGTAAAAATCAAATGGCCTCAAACACAGCCAACAATGTGGATCCAATGAACCCATTTTGGAGCTTGGGAGCAGCTGAAGAAGACGAAGGATTTTGCTTAGCTGCGTCCCTTGTCACTGCAAGTATCACCTTTGGTGTATTCAAAGCTGTGAAAGACCTCAAAGTTTTTGAGGTCATAAAAAAAAGTGGGCCTAATGCACCTTTAACAGCGGCCGAGATAGTGGCCAAGTTGCCTACCGAGAACCCGGGGGCTGCGGCCGCTGCCCTTGGCCGTATGCTCGACTTGTTAGTAGGCCAATCTGTGCTCACTGCCACTTTTGTCACCCTCCCTGATGGTACAGGCCAAAGGTGTTATGGACTAGCGCCTGCTTGCAAATTCTTGACTCCTGATGAGGATGGCATTTCCTTGGCTCCTAAAGTTTCTATGTACAAGGCTATGATCGAGAGCTCGTAAGTAAACTTATTATGGAGTAGATTTTAACTAGATTTATTTATGTGCGCGAAATTACTGATGTTTACTAAACTTAATTTATGTGGAAAAAAAAAAACCACACATTTTTGTTGTAACTTTTTTAAATGTTAGCTCAATCAAAAGAACATATTTTCTCCGTTTTTTTAATTAGTTGAGAATTTTTTACTTTGCATGTTATTCACATAACTTTGAGTTCTTTTTGTGATTCATTGAAAAAAAAAAATGTATTCATCATGTCGGGTAGATTTGTCTTAATGCATATTTTTCAAATAATCAAATTTTTTTACCATTTCTGCTAATACATAATTAAAGATAAATATATTTTAAAAGTATACGTGGACAAATGTGCCTAAATAGAATATATGAACTAACGGAGGAGATATCTAATAAGAAAGCGAAGAAAGACTGAATATCTATGGAACTTCCCTTCTCTATTATGAAGTGAACTATTCTTTTTCCTCGTGAAATTTAATGTAAATTAAGATGATATACTTCATATTATGTGAATTTTCAAAATATTGATTTTTGCATTTCTCACTTATACATAATTACAGGTATACGAGGTAAAGAAAAAATGCATTAAAAATCATGTAAATGTCAAATTGGTCAAACTTTCAAGAATGAAAAAAGTATTAAGTTCTGCCGCATACTATTTTTCATGTATATTGAGGTGTTGCAATTTTTTTTTAAGCAAACTTGCATTGGCATTATTGTGTTTTTAAATTAGTCTGATACTAAGCTCTTGACAATGCAAGTATCAACTTAATTATCATCTATTACTCTACATTATAATGAGGTAATTAGATATATGGACTATAGAGTAATGTTAAAAAAGAGTTGAGGATGCATTGGTATATATCGGTGAATGACTTACAATCTAACATACTTGTACTGAATTAAAAAGAACTCTATAGCTTCTTATCTTTTACATAGTTGTACAAAATGAGAGCGAGGGATAGCTCAAGTGGTTAGAGCTTCCCTCCCGGTTTCAGGTGATCCTGGGATCGATTCGAGATTTCTATTTACTGTCTGAATAAAATAAGAATTAAAGTATAAATGGCACGCATTTTAATTTCATTGATTCTAATTCTGCACTTATTGGGAAATGGCCATCATTATTTAATAATCATTGATGAGTCCATTAATGTTGGTTGCCAGATTTCTGCTATATGTTTCTCAATTTGATGTCACCTCTAGCAATAAAAATGATACGGAGTAATTTGATGTCACCTTCAAACTGTATATGGCCTAAAATGAACATTAACAATGAAAATACTCAAAAATATTGAAAATATTAAATGAACATCAACATTCATTGCATTAATGTATCATTTAATAATATGAGAAATTACTCCAAGGTGTTGAAACCCTATTATTGTCCCTAATAATGTGTATTGTCCAACATAGAATAAAAAAGATGAGAGAAAGTATCATATAATAATTAATCTAGAGGAGTATATTAAACTTGTAAATAAAGAAATGACAAATTTTGTATACATACTTTTGTTCAAACATCCTAAAGTACTGTACAAAACATACATTTCTATTATTTCCGAAGAGAAGGAATGATCGATTTGTAGCGTGCTAACTTTTTAATATGTAGGTTAATTCTTAGATAAATCACGTAAATTATTCATTTTGATTTGTGTTGTATCATTGTATGTAGGCTCTTCTTAAAGGATGCGGTGGTTGAAGGCGTAGAACCATTCACAAAAGCTCATGGGATGAGTTATTACGAGTATTTTGGGGAGAAGGCCGAGCGTCGTGAGGAGTTTCATGAAGGAATGGCAAGCCACTCTATCCTTATCATGCGCAAAATCTTGAGGACTTATAAAGGATTTGAGGGTATTTCTATGCTGGTCGATGTTGGTGGTGGTAATGGTGCTACCCTCTCTATGATCCTTTCACAGTACCCTAATATTAAGGGCATTAACTTTGATCAGCTTCCTGTTGTAGCTAATGCTCCACCATATCCTGGTAATTATACTTCATTCGATCTCCTTTCTATACTTAATTGATTTGTTGACGAAAAGTGGATATTATGTGTATAGGAGCATGTTTGGTTGATAAAAACACGAGAAGGCAGGTAGCCAGGTAGTATAACTTGTATGAAATAGTGCACTTCTAGCCTATAAATGAAGTTGCATAATTATATCATACAAGTATTTCTAATTTATGTTATCAACCAAACTATTATGTTATGTACATTTGTTTATGTATTGTAATTCGTACATAATAGTTGTTGTTAGAATATGTCTTAAATCAATAGCTAAACATTTGCATTTTCAACCATATTGGACTTGATCAGGAGTAAATAATTCCTTCTTCTAATATATACTTAGGTGTGGAACATGTTGGAGGAAACATATTTGTCAACATCCCCAAAGGGGACGCCATATTCCTAAAGGTATGATAACCTTTGAACCTTTAATAATTCTGAATTTAACTTGTGCCAAACCAGTTATATATACAACCACATATCTGTGTGATGATTTGTCGTCGAACATTAAGTACATGTTGATACTAAAGATGATTTGCCATGATGTAATAGTACTCCCTCCGATTCACATTGTTCTTCTCACTTTTACAAAGACAAAATTAGTCAAAGTGGGAATCAAAAAGAATATGAAACAGAGGAAGTAGTAATTATCTAAATACATTGCAAAACCATGTACAAATCTTACTCCAACTTACTGTAGTTTTGGTGTACTAATAAACTGTTTATTTGTAGTGGATTTGTCATTGTTTTAAAGATGAGGCATGCATTATGATCCTGAAGAATTGCTACGATGCCCTTCCAGAGGACCACGGTAAGGTAATAATATGCGAAGGTCTTCGTCCAGATCCACAAGAAATTACGACTAGTGTAGAAGCCAATTCAATCCTTCAACTCGATATGGTCATGATGGCTACAACTGGGGGCAAAGAAAGGACTGAGAAGGAGTTCGAGGCGTTAGCGTTTGCAGCCGGTTTTCAAGGCTTCCAAGTTGCATGCTCTGCCTACAATGCTAAGGTCATGGAGTTGCTCAAGAATAACTAGGCTAACTTCATGTTACAAGGACAAAATAAGGCCGGCCAATTAAAAAATTGTCATTGGTAGAGGGTTACTCAATAATAACTAGGCTAACTTCATGTTACAATGTGGAAAGCTCTAAATAGAGGGACACAACATAGCAAAGTGAAAGTTAGAGGGTTACTATATAGAAAAACACAATAATTAATATACTGGCATTCAAGTTTTCCTGTCATTTCATTATATTTGAACATTATGTGCACGCACTTTTCCTTTCCTTGGTTATTAAATCTATTTGACGTGATCAAAGGTAGAGATATCTATTCTTTTCAAATTTTCCAATAAATAATGGGTTTTTAAAATTATACAGCTATATATAGAGAATCCCTAAACCAAGTTTTCATTGAGATATAGATTATTTAGTTTTGTCTAGCTACTACTAGCTTCTTACAAATAACATTACAAATTTCACAAACCAACTATAATTATTAAGCAATAGTACATAGTTCGTTTAAGAACAATACATAGAAGAACACTTAAGACGAAAGAAGAAATGATTCCAACCTAATACTGGAATCTGGATGATACAAGTATTCACTCCACTACAACTAGATGCATTTCATATATGAATGGGATAGATTAGCTAAGTTTGGTTCTTAAAAAGCTCCAAACAATGCTCCTGGTCTAAGTTCCTACTCCAGAAAGTCTTGTAGTACTCAGGATACGTGAAGTCCCGGTACATGGCCGGTGATCCGTTGGCGGTGAGAGGTGGTGGCGCGCTGATCAATGCATCATTCGAAGGGCAGAGGAAAGAAGCTACTGATAATCTTGGCTTATCTGTGTTCACAACTGCTCTGTGCCATACACTCTTGTATATACCGTTACTCAATGCCTGAAAATTAGTTCCTTGTTGAATCAAACTATGTAATCTTACACTGTTAAACAATTCAAGCTAAAAAGAAAGGTCCAGCCCTTTTATTAATACTTAATTACTTATTGGTTAGGCCCCAAGGCCCAATATGTGTACTCATAAAAGAAATTCGGTTATCACATTCTAGTAATCTGTTCCCGTCATTCCTGACTATCGTTTTTAATATTCCTATAATCTTTATTATTGTCTTTTCTTACATCCTAATACAGAAAATGAGCATTTAATTATTCACACACATCATACTACCTATGCACGGTAACTCCATGCAAAAACTAATGTGTCACTTAAAAATACGTCACTTCCTCCGTTCTTTTTTTTATTGCATTATAGGGGTTTTAGAGGCAAAATTTGGTAGTGGGAAAATATAAGAGAAAAAAACGTAAAAATGCAAAATTGTCCATGTAATGTAAAGATAAAATAAAAAGTAAGTGTGGAAAAGTAATGGTATGTTGGGTATTTGCAGTGTAAACATAGATATTTTTTGTCTTAAAATGGAAGTGATGCAATATTTGTGAAACTTCCCTAAAAGGCAAGTGATGCGATATTAAAAGAGCGGAGGAAGTAGAAGAAAATGTTATAGTATGGTGTGCCGGAGTATAGGTGTAACAATATAACCATTACTCCGTATTTTGAAACACATGGGTGTCTACTCGTACAAGGTTGTCTTTGTCTACAACTCGTGAATATATGATCAATTATTCTTCACTCTTAAGAGTTGTTACGTGTGGTTCTAAAACGGTATCATAGTTCAGACTTCAGAGAATCATCTATCATGTCAGCTTGAACTACTAGGCACCATTCAAACTTTGTCACATGTTGCAACGTAGAAAATAATTGTTCAAATCATAAAAATAATCATTAAGATCTTTTTTGTCACGTTTTCTAAGTAGTAATAGTATGTTTGTATGTGTATCAATCAGTGTATATAGATTACCTGCAATTGATCACCAATGTTAATGACAAATGCATCAGGTTGAGGTTTGACAGCAACCCATTTACCATCCTTGAAGATTTGTAGGCCAGATACTTGCAAGTCTTGTAGAAGGATGGTAAGGGCATTCGGATCCGTATGACCCGGCAACCCGTACGTCAACTCCGGCTCCGGACACTCGGGGTAATAGTTAAGAGCCATGTGTTGTCCTTGATCTCCTAGGACATTCTTTATGTGATCCTTCTCCAATCCTAAGCTCTCTGATATTAGTTCCTGTATTCTGAACCCTAGTTCTCGAACTTCTTTTATGTACTTGCTCACTGTTTCCCTGCCAAAATTTTACACAAAGTGAGAATTTACAAGTAAAAATTATACAAAGTTGTACGGTTAATAGTGGCGCGTATATAAGCAAATCTAATCATAAATCACGCCCTCTTTTAAAACGTGATAACTTTTTCTTAACATTACGTGACTATCAGTTATGTACTAAATCAAGTAAACTGAATGTTGCTTCAAGCGTCTTTGTCAACTCAACTGCTCAGAAAATTCGAGGAGAAGAGCAGCTTCCACGCAACCATGTAATGTATGGAGTAAGAAATAAACAAGTTCATTTAAATTATTTGTTTGGACAAATTTAGTGTAAACATCAAATCTGCAAACAAAGAAAAGACCAGGTCTCATTAACAACAGGAAACTATACTCGTGGTAGACACAACACAACCTCACAGCCTCTTGTTCCTATTAGAATCCAAGCCACCACAGTACTAGCTAGATGTGGGACTATGATGAAAAGATGTATTTGAAGACTGAGTCTTTCCTTTGAAATGGACAGATTTATCGGTGATTTACTCCGTATATGACTGGCTTGAAAATTTTGCGTTTTTTTATATTCAAATATCACGTACTGACTGTATATTATGACGTAAATCTGCGGCCTTTTTTCTATGCCAATATGATTATATTTTTAATTGGCCGATTGATGTTAAGTAACGTTTTGGTATTCCTTATTTTTCACCAAGGCAAAGTGCAAAGTTTATATTTTTTTTGTTTTCTATTTCCCTATCTCCATTTTAGTTAAAATAACAACCGATAATCTATAATCATACTACGTGTACTATTTATAGTATTAATCACCTAAAACAAAATGCTATGATCTATAATCTATAATTTATAATCACATACAAAGCGCGTATGATCATGTAAAAAAATAAATTTTTAAATGTAGCCGAGTGTCACAAAAGTTAAATGTAAAGCTTTAATGGTTAGTCAAAATTGATTAGTGGAAGATTCAAAGGCCAGACGAATAGACACATCATAGATGAATGAATCATGTATTCATGCATGTGGATAATAGGCCAACATAATTTGTCGACTAACAATGGCCTTATACGGAGCAGTAAGCAATACACAAGTACTTCGTAGACTACTTTACGTGTAGTCAATGCCTTGACCCACAACGAAAAAGGACCTTGTCAAATCTCACAACTCCAAATATTTAACCTTGTCTATTTCTAGTTTTTTTTTTTTTTTTTTTTTTTTTTTTTTTGTTTGACAAATTGTCTATTTCTAGTTTTTTTTAATTTTTATTTTTATTTTTTTATAGTATATACTTCCTCCGTTTTTTAGTTACATCACTTTTCTGAAAGAGAAATTTTAAATTATGGTGATTTTCACTTATCTAAACTTAACTGAACTTATCAGAACTTATTTTAGTTGTAATTTGAACTTGGGTAACCCTGATCAAAACTTATTTTTTCTTACTAAACTTATCTGTTCCTGAACTGAACTTAACTGAACTTAACTGAACTTAACTGACTTGAAAATAAGTGAATAAATAAGGTGAACTAAACAGGCCCTTAGTTGCATCACTTTCCTTGTTAACTAATAAATTCTCTCTATCTTTCTTCTACTACATGGGCCCCATTTATATTACTCCAAAAATTGTCTAAGAGTCCGTAAAAACAAAAGTAATGCAACTAATAAAAAATGGAGGAAGTTTAGAGCTTTTTGGAGTTAAAACTTAAGGCCGTAAATAAATTTATAATTTTAGAATGTATGTCAAAATCACGCATTGATCAATGTAAAATGATGTTTTATTTAGTTTATATACAACTATACAAGTAGTACATTTTCAGCTTCTATAAATGTACCTTAAAGGCTTTATGTATCATTTATTTTTATTTTTTTTCTACTAACAAAATCTAAAGCTTTATTGCTAAAATGAGCATATTAGCTATATAAATGAATCAATTGATAAACGTAATTTCTTGCTAAAAATTAATTGTTTAAAGGTATTAAAAGTAAGACATTAACTATTGGAAGTAGTTATTACCTCTGTTTCTTATTATTTGTAACAAAGGAATATTTTATCTCACAAATAATATTCTTTTGTTGCAAACAATAATAAACAGATGTAATATTTTATACCTAGGCTTTTAGCCCGTGCAGTACATGAATTATATAAAGTAAAGTCGGATTAATATTAATAATTTTCTCAATAATTATATAGTTCTCTTATGAGAGAAGAAGAAAAAAAAAGTTAAGGGAGGAAAGTTGAACATCATATTTTTTCTCTCATGTACATTACTTGTAGGTAGTTATTGTATTAATATCAAGTTTTTATAATTTTTATGCTTATAAAAATAGAGATATATACATTTTAACTCACGTTTCAAAGACCGTAAAATATCAAATGAGACAGAAAAATAGAGATAGAGAGAGTACTAATTTTGTTCTTTTACTCTTCTATGTCGATTATCAACCATTGAAGTAGGAGAGGATGACTCTTATCTGTTATTCTTATCTATAGAATGTAAAACATCAACCGGCAAATCTTATCAGATAAGGACATTCCTTTGTTGAATCTTTCAACAATTAGAAGAGATTGGACGTTTCTCGCATTCTCCTTTTAACCAATGCCTCTTAATATCAAATTATAATCCTTTCAATAATGTCCAACTAACTTAAAGTTCATGCATAATACGACTTTTGCCCCACATTCTAGGTGTGGTTTTGCATTCTAGAAGACGGTGTAAACATATTGACAAACAAATTACATGACAATTTTAATTCCCTTAAAGTTTTAAAATTATACTTCTATAGCTATATACTATGTATATATTGTGTGGGACCTCGTATTTTTATCTAACATAAATATGTTGATATAATGAGATAAAGAATTTATGTCGGGTTGAAAAGTGTGTCAGGAATGTGTTCTACAACCTTGGTATGTGGACCTCTCGTCAAAATATATTCTTATTTGCATATTCATATGCATTTAAATAAACATGTGAATACTATGCTAGTAAAAAGTTATATGATAGCTAAAATCAGCACCACCAAATATGTTCATGAGGAAAGGACAATATTGAGAAGCCCTTGATCACATATTTATTGTTAAATGAGATCATATGGTTGAAAATAAGAGAGAATAAAAAGTCTTTTAATTACCAAAGAAAAATCTAACCATTTAGTAAGATAACGTACAACTTTTCAACCTCCAAATTTGAAAAAAAAAGTGCATTAGGAGGTTTGATTAATTAATCATATTCATAGCTTAATTTAAGTCAAATTGTTAACTACACACTTTATAGTCAATTAAAACGTACTATTACCTCTGTTACTAATTACTAACCTTGAGATTTTGGAGTACTTAGAGTTGGCATAAATAATGTTGAAAATTAAAGTCATTGGTAATTTGGGAGTATTATTCTAGAGGTTACCTCATATATAATGCGTCATGAGGTGTCATGTAAGCATACGTATAAAAGTGATGTCATCAATTATAATTAATTGGTTAGATACTTATCGTATAGATTCGATCTGAAAATTGAGATCAACGGCTAGAAATAGATCTAGGTGTATTATGTTTTTCGAGTAGGTGGGGAGGCAAGACATGTGTAGTGGCAACCAAAAATTTTAGACTTACTATGCAACTTAAAGTATGATTGAACCGATTAAATGAATTTATATACTTCGTATAATCCCACCAATCACTCCGTCTTTAATGTATTTGATCTTGATTAATTAAGAATTAAAACAATGAAACTTTAAAGTAGGTAAGATATTATATGATATTGGGAGCAATTATTGCAAATAATTATTAATTATTACTTCATAGTATATGTTTAATTGTGTGCGTTTTACAGGGGATGTGTGATTTAAAATTTAAGTATAAACATATCTGTTTCAGGTTATAAGAATCATCTAATGATGTTTGATTTGGTAGTTGCAAGGAGTATGTTAAATTAATCACTCTATAATCTAATTTTGGCATTGGTGGGACTATTTGTGGGAATTTTCTCAAAGTCTATTCTCCAAGGCTAGCTTACGTGTTATTGTATATTAAAGTGATCATCTTAAACATAAAATCTGACTTGTAAGTCTAGCAACTAATTAATAAATCATACCTTATAAGATGATTATTTTTAGTTTGAAACAAAAACTACATGTACATCTTTATTATATGAATGAACTCATTTATAAAAATAAAAATAAAATTAATATTATAAAAATAATTATGTTTGTTTTTAACTTTTGAAAAAAAGAGTTAGGAAAAGATTGTTAATTGCATCTAAAACACCCCTTAGTTTAATGTTAAAAGCACATATTATTAGTATTATACTATGGCTTAAAACCTCTCTCAGGGTGAAACTAAAGTCCTTAAGACCTTAATCAAACCCTAATATATATACTTAACAATTTTACTCTGTCATTTGTACTCCATAGTATTAAATACGTACAGATTTAACATTTTCCTATTTTTGATAAAGAACAAATTATGATGACAAGAATGAGAACTTCTACAGTTCTACGCAACTAATGTCAGTTCACAAGAGTCACAGTAATAACTTTAAAAACTGCAAAATAGACATTTAATTTTTCCAATTTCTTATGAACTTTTGGCCTTTCTTGTGAATTAGTAAGGGCTGTTTATGACTCTTAGCAATTTTGAAAGGTTGTCTAATATCTTGCTTAGAAAAGGCATTTGGATGAAAAAAATATCACATGGGTTGGGCACTGGCAACATCCAGCCCTTACTAATCGAACTACTTTTCCACATTCGTTATTCCTACATTATCGACCACTATTAACGGACATTATTAGTGTATACAACCTTATTAGTGTAATAAAACGACTCTAATCACCTTACTAGACTCGCAAATCGTAGAGCCAACATAGATGAAGATATATTTCTTAGTAGTTACAGTACATAGAGTATTAGAATTAACATTGCGGATTTATTAACAACGTTGCTTCGATTTTTAATTAACTAGCTTGTGAAATTGTAGTAGTATCTACATAGAAAAATTCTATGTTTATTGAGTAGGATAAAGGAACATTTGTCAATGAATACAATTTTTAATGCTTAAGCTAGTTCTAATTTCTATTTAAATTTGTTTGCAAGATGATAAATTTAAGGTAAGAAAAACAAAGAGAAGACGAAATTGAAGTAAGTAGAGTTATATTGCGTTTTGCTTTTTAAAAAAATAAAATGTTGCCTTTATCTATAAAAGTCAACTTCATAATGGCGTTTGTCTTTAAAAGATCAATTTGGTCAGTATTTAATTCATAATTTGTATTTTAAAAGAAAGAACAAAATGTAAACGTAATGCTTTCTCACTAACATGACGATTGACGTAGATATTGGATCTGTTTGTCATACTCTACGTACCGCTATATTTTATCACCGAAAACTAATTAATGATGCAAAGCATTATTAACGAATATAGTGCGTGGCAAGAATTTCTCATTGACATCATTTAAAAGACAATTTTTTTATTTCTTATGGAATTAAAAGACAAACCTACTCATGTGGCAAACACGAAAAGAAATACTCCGTACTACATAGTCCATTAAAACATGCATAAAAATACTAGACTTTTAAAATAAAATTTAATAATACTAATAATAATTATAACAGTAATTTATAGGTTCTAAAGTATTCAGAATATTCTCTCAGAAGATTTAAAGTAATTTGTATATGTCACTGTGATGTGATAGGTAAAATAAGTAATACGAAGTACGAATTAAAATATATGTAGATTTAATATTCGTAACTTATCTCAAATTTCGTCAACATCAGTGTTCTTATTCCTCGTCGAAGAACAAAAAAAAAAAATTATAACTTGTTGAATAACTGAGAAATTAAAGAGATGTTGGTACTTACTTGAATAATGGAGGGTTAGAAGGCCACTCGGGAGCGTATTGCTCAAGAGGCCAACAATGGAGCCTAAGATAATCTCTCCAATTATGAACTTCCTCTTTGTTAACGTTAAAACTTGTTGACAATCTCATTGTTTTTGTTGGATCATCACTATATAGCTTGAGTTTTTCCTCTACTGGCAAATTAAAGAACTCTTTAGCCACCTTTTGCATCTCCTCAGCCAATTCCTTAGACACCCCATGATTGATCACCTACCGAATCATTAAAATCAAATTCGGCATCAATATTAGACTTCTCATCTAGAGTACATGCATACGTGAAGTTGTGGTATTGAAAAAGAGGTTCAAATGTACGTAACCTTACCTGAAAAAACCCGTAATGCTTACAAGCATATGAGACTTGTTCGAGGATTTGTGAAAGATCCTTAGAACTCAAGTCGATAACGGGTACGTCCTCACATTCGGAGACTTGAGATAAGTTGGGTCTTTGTGATTCGGGTCGGATATAGTTATCCGGGAGGTTTTTGTGAGGAATTCCGGTGGATAGGATTTTATGCGCCATTTTTGTATTAGGCTTTATAAACAATGTAAAATAAAATAAAAAAAAAAAGAAAAGGGAAAAGGGAAGAAAAGCGAAAGTGATTGTGGGCCGTAAAGTAGCTTCGGGGAAGAAGGAAGGTGTTGGAAGAATGCTAGTGTAGAAGTGAACCATCTCACTCTTTTATATACGATTTTATAGGCGATAATAGTTTTTTTTTTTTTTTTATAATTTCTTTTAAAATAAAAGTAAAATTAAAAAGTTGACTTGTACTTGGTACTTCAAAAGTCTTCCATCCAGAATCAATCAATCATTAAGATTTACGTGAAAAAAAGGGGTTGAATGAGTATTTTCATGTTTTTAAAATTTATTTATTTACTAATTGCACGGTTTTTTATCTAAGATTTTTAATTATTAAATTTATTGTATTTAATAATTTCAGAAAAAATTACAAAAGTTTAATATTTATTTTTTTTACTATAAATTATAATGAATTTATTAAATATAAATAAATTGTAAATATGATTTAATTTCCGTTATATAAAATCTTTAATGTGAAATGATAACTTTTTAATAATTTAAATCTTAAATCATTATTCATTGTTTTACCATACCTTTTATTTCGATAGAATCACCAACCTCGTCCACAACCAACCTTCTACATCAATGGATAAATTGAACCGGGAAATGTTAGCCAAACTGAAATTGATATAAATTAAATCTTTACATTTATATAAAATAAATCAATATATTTACCAATAAATAAAAATTGTTGCGATATAAAATCAAATCTATGCATTGGAATTTTTTCATCATCTCCAAAAATAACCAAAGTCATCCATATATTAAGTATACAACATCTAATCGTATGCCATTACATAAACAAATAATCGTTAAGTATCCTAAATAAATACAATGTAACTAATAAGTACAAATATAAATTTAAACATAAGATTTTAAAAAAATTACCCGGACCTAAAACTAACACAAAATTACTAACACAAAATTTGCTTGATGGGATTTTGTATTGATACGAAATTTTATTTGTGTCGTATGACGTGTTAGATCTGCATGTAAAAAAACATTTAGTAAAAAAACATAAACATATAATCGTTGAGTATCCAAAATTAATATAATGTAAGTAATAATTAGAAATACTAATTTAAACATAGGATTTTAAAAATTAAGCTAAAAATTACCCGGCAATTGATGACCAAAAATTAACACAAAATTACTAACACAAAATTTGCTTGATGGGGCTTTTTATTGATACGAAATTTTGTTTGTGTCGTATGATGTGTCAATTTATAACTAGGTATCACAAATTTTAATTTAATTATAATTAACGAACAATTTGTATTTCTTATCATAAATTCTATCAAAATTTATCTTATAATGATAGGTATCAAATTTTATTATAAGTATTTATCATTTAAATATCTTTTATAATATTTTTTTTGGATTTCTTATACTCGTAGTATTGAATTAATAAATTTATCTTTTCCTATATATTTACTTTATTTTTTTCATTAAAATAATTTAATTCGTGGATTATAATCTACGTGGTATTAAAATTTTAGATATATCAAATCTAATTCGTTACTTTTATCTAGGTGGCGACATAAATTTTTTAATTCAAAAATAAAATACAAATCTTTCTTCTTATTGGTCGAAATAAATATATTTCTTACGTGGCGCTCCGAATGCTCTCCAAAAATGCCTACTTTATTTATATAATATTAGATTAGATTAGATTTTAGATATAACACTTTTTTCCTGTTTGTCTATTTAAAAAGCATTAATATTGACATTTTAATTTATAGGACTATGTTCTTCTTCATCCCATAAAATAATGCTTATTTCTATTTATATGGTAATGAAGGGAGTAGTTCCTAAACCTTTTCTACTCACATGTGAGTTTGCTCATTGGCTCAACACTCCCCCTCACCTGTGAGTATTCCATAATACTACCCAGATCTAGGGGTGTTCAAAATTTGGTCTGGACCAAAAAAATGGACCGGACCGGACCAAATAAGTCAGTCCGGTCTCCGGGTCGAGAAATTTATTTCCCGATCTTTGGTCCGGTCTGGTCCAAAACTCTATAAAATCCTGTGTTGGACCGGACCAGTTTTTTGCTTAAAATTATACATAAAACCTTTAGTAATGATTAAGATTACCTTAACAAGCTTGGAAAGCTCTAATCGTATAAGTTTTTTTGTACTAAACATACAAAAAAGGGCGTTGAAATATTGTTTTTCCTTTATTTTTTTCTAGTTTTTCATAAATTATTTAAAATTTAGAAATTTTTTATAAAAATTCTAAAATCGGTCCAAACCGGTCTAGTCCGGGCTTTGGCCCGATTTTTTCGGTCCGGTCCGGTCCTGTCTTAGCTTGATTGGTTCGATCTTCGGTTTTTGAAATTCGATTTTTTGGTCGTCGTTCCGATCTTGAACCGATGAACAGCCCTACCCGGATCACAGCTCAACCTAACTTGGGCTTTGATAGATGACAGTTAAATATGGGTTTGAACCCGCAACAAAAAAAAAAAAAGAGAATCTACTTCACAAATTTAAAGAAGTTTTATCCCAACACCATATAATAATAAGAGAAATAGCCCTTAGTCTTATATAATGGACACAATTCTTTCTTATTTAACATGGGATATACATTCCAATATTCCCTCTTATTTTTATTATACTGGATTAATGTAGGATAATACTTTTACTCATATGTGGGTTTGCGCATAGGTTCAACATAAAATTACACATTAAGGCTAATCTAACAATATTTCACATAACTATGTATTTATTGAATATTTTTTGTGAGCATTATAAATTTGAACCATAAAATTGGAAATGAGCACCATATTATGGGAAGAGAAAGTGTATTTACTTGCTAAAAAATTAAAAGCAGAGATTGTATATTTTGTGAATAGTGTAAATTTAGAAGCATATCATGTAAATATGGAGAAAGTATGCTAGAAAATTGCAAAAGGTTTAGTTAAAAGCTAGTGTACAGTATAACTTAAACTCCTAAAAGTCCTAATTAGTTGTATGACAATTAAGGATCAGATACACTAAAAAAAAGATTTTGTATAAATAAACTCCTTCTCTCAGCACTTTTTTTTTCCAATTGAAGCTCATATAATTCATCCTACCATACACTCCTACTATATACTCAACTTCTTGTTTTTGTAAAGACAGGTTCCCATTATAATTGTCAATTTGTCATTGACAGTGGCCCTGCTCCTATTCTGCTCTGCTGAAATCTCATTTGTTCTGTCTAAAAGCTCAAAAGAACAGGATCTTAGTAAGTTAATAGCACAAACCACACGCATCACAATCGAGCTAATGATGTGCCCTTCTATTAGTAAATCAAGCTAAGGGAGTTTTACATAGCACATACATACTTATAGCGTTTGTCCGCATTTTATTATATAGTACGCTAATGTACTATTAGTTTGTATTCAAGGTATAATAGCGTTATGCACAAGATCAATATCGGACCAACAAATTTTATAGGAAGACCAGATTCCTACAATCCTACGTTTTGGTAGATTGAGGACAAGACATGTGGTTCGGTTTGGACCGGTTACATATTGCGTTTTTATGGCATTTTTTTCGTACAAATTATTTGTTAGTAAATGGTAACGTTCCATATATTTTAAACCCAATATAAAAGCCAACGATGTAAAACAAATGTCCAAATTAAGTAATTGAACTAAAAAAAAACAGAAGTGCATAACTATTTGGGCATAAAGTTTCACTAATTAAAACATTTGTTCAAATAATCATGTTATTATATTGGATTGGACAGTATTTTGGACTGAAAATTTTGAGTTTAGACCGGGCTGGACCAAAAAACAAACCCCGGAATCAAGGATTTTTAAGGATCAATGACTTTTGAGTCCTTTCCATTCTGGCCCCGATCAAACTTTGTACATTCATAAGTATTATTTTATTTATTTTCTTGTTTTCATCATCGTTTGCAATATTACAACTGTACATGTTTTATCACTTATATATCTCTCACACACACCCCGAACGCTAAAAAAATCGGTACACGGGATGAAATTAAAATCGATCATTTCAAATTAGTTTGATTTGATTTGATCTATCTAATCTTCCCATCACAAATTTTAAAATGTCACATTTTTAATCCAATCCAATTTTAGAGCAGTGAACATGCCTTATGAGTAGAGGTGGGCATGGGCCGTGCCGGCCCGCGGGTGACACGGGCCCAGCACGAGATTGGCCCGACCCATCACAAGCCCGCCAGTGGCACGGCATGGTGACCGAGGAGTGGGCCGTGCCATAAACACGATTTCAAGAATCCGGCACGAACCCGCTGACGGCATGGTAGTTTGGCCCGCCAACACGACACGCCAGACACGACCATAAAATAACATAAATAATAATAAAGAACTATAATAAGAATAATAAAATGAACAATAATAATATAATAATAAAAAAACATAAATATAGATTAATAAAATTATTTAAATAGTATATCCATTTTAAAAGTTGTTCAAAAAAAATTAAAAAAATTATGGACGGCCCGGTATCCGGCACAGCATAGCACGCCAGGCACGTGGGCCGTGCCATGCCGTGGGTTGAGGTGTGCTAAATGGTGGCCAGACGCGACACGGCACGCCAAGATACAGGCACGGCACGAGCCACCACCAGGCACGGCGAAAAACGGCCCGCGACGACAGCACGTTGCCCACCTCTACTGAGTTGTGGCCGCAAAACACTCACTGCCTTAACCCACAAGTCGGGGTAAACAAGGGTCGGCCTGCTTGCAATCGATTTGTGGTACTAATTTAACTGTCGGCCCATTTAAAGTTGTTCCCTCCTTTTCTCATTCTTTTTCAATCTTTCAACCACTTCATATGATTTTGAGTCGAGTCTTTTTTTCGTTTTCACTTTCTCTTTAAACGTCTTTTTCCTCCTAAGTTGTACTCCGTAACAGAGTTGTGTTATCCATTTCATTATTTTGTCTCGAGAATAACTAATTTTGTAAGCCGTACAATGACTAATATATCATGGATCTTACAATAAGCGTCTCAAGGCATTAGATTAGGGATTAATATATTACAAAAATAGTATGAAGTTCGGAATGTATGATAAAATCACACGTCGATCAGTGTAATTAATATTAATTTTACTATAATATTTTCACATTTAGTTCTCTTATCTAACGCCTCGGGGGTGCTCGTTAGATTTTGCCATATATCATTACGACATTACAATTTGAAGAATAAATTAGTGAAGTCTGATCAAGATGATTTTGATGAGATTAAACATCAATGGTGCGCACTTCAATGACCTTAACTTATTTGAACTTGTCAATTTTTATATGAAATTATCAGAA